AAGAAAGAGGGGTAGCTAAATATAGTAAATTTATAAGGTCGAAGCGCTTAGTAACTTGCTTGATATATACGTCGTAGATAAAATAAACTTTACGAGTAGTACGGTTTTATAAAATCCGTATTTTAAGAAAATAATTAATTAGTTTATTCTCCTTAAGGTTAATATATTTTTTTATACTGTTAACGATCCCCTAAGCCGCTTTTTAGTCGTTTTAATAGTATAGAATAATAAAGTCGTTAATATAGAATATTAATATTACCTTCTTATCTACGGTTTAGTAAATATAAATTTCCTCGTAGCTATATATTATATTTATACTACGAAGTATAAAAATAAAAGTTTAGAACTAGAAAATTAGTAAGTCTCGGAGGCTATATAGAGCGCGTTAGAGCTTACTTATTTTATTAATAACCTTATATCCCTCTAGGAGTTTAATAATTACTAGCTTCTCGCTTTTAAGAGGCGCGTTAAGGAATACGTTAATAGTATTATATTAGTTTATTTTAAGGTCGAATTAGGTAGCTATTACTATTATAAGCCTAAAGGCCTTTATAATAAGCGTTGAAGCGTACGTATTTTATAAGGGGTTAAGTAGTTATATATCCCCCCTTATATATATATATACTTTTACCTCGCTAACTTCGTTATCGACGTCGTGCTTATAAGTATATACTTATTTTAATAAAAGTAGGATCCTTTATTTAAAATTATAGTCGACCTCTTCTTATATACTAATATCCCTTAGTTTTTTTATTTCTATATTTATAATATCTCTAAGTAGCTTCTATAGTTATAGTAAGAGATATTTAATATTACTAAACTTTTTTAGTAAGCTTTAGAAGTTAACTTTAATAAGTCGTGGTTTTTAAACTCCTCTAGAGCGCTCTAAATAGGTCTTATAAACTACTCCTTTTACTACTTAATAAAGTATTATATATCTTATACTACTTTTCTCTATAGTTTTTTACTAATTAGGTATAAAAGTAAAGAAAAAGTAGTCCTAGAGACGGTTATAATAATTACCGTTTTTTATATTCGAATATAAAAGCGTTATAAAAATACTACTATTAAAGCGTTATAGAGGTTTACGGGCCCGGTTTAAGCGTTTAGGACCTAATAGAGCTTTACTTAGTACTTAATAAGGTAGTTTTTATAAGCTCTATTCTTATATAATAATAAAAGTTTATTATAAGGGTTCCTTACTAACGTTAACTTTAGCGTTAAGAATTACTTTTTTATAATTAGTACTTTATTTATTACGTACTCTAGCGTTTTATTAAAAGCCGTTAAGAATTAAAAGCTTAAGAACCTCTATAATATATATAAGCGCTTATAAGGAGGACTATAGACTACGCAGAGCTATTTATAACCCGGTTATTATATCCCCTTTTTTACCCCTACCCCCGAGCTTATATAAGGGGGTTATCTTAGGGGTTAATAATAATAATAAGACTATATTAGCCTCTTTAGCCTTATTAACCGTACCTTAAAGTACGTTTATTAGTTACTTAGCGTCCTAAATAGTTAAAAATCTAATAATAATACTATCCTCGATTATAGAGTTATCTTAAGTACTAGTATTTCCGAAGTTTAGATCTACTTCCCTAAGTACTCGAACTAGTTTATTATTAGTATTAAAGAGTTCTTATATCTTTTAGATTATTAAATTTACTTACTTATTTACGATAGCTTATTCTTTATATATAGGATTATAAAAGACTTTTTTATTAAACTTAATATTTTTTATAATAAATACTTATTTGAGCGCGGGTACTTAGACCCTATATAGGTTATACGTTTTTAGTATATATTTAACTAGGTATCCTATATACCCGCGGGGAAGTATTTTAAACTCTTTTTAATATATACCCCTCTTACGATCCCTATAAAAAGGGTATACTTAGTAACTATATACGTAGAGGCTACCGAGATACGGGGTAACTAGTTTAGAATCCCATACTTAGTAACCCGTTTATTATTAGCGTTAATACCGCTTTTACTAGTTAATTTTTATTATAATGGGCGAATCTTTTTTATTAGCCTCCCGTAGGGTAATATTATAAATAAAGATTATTACTAGTACTATTTTATCCTATAGATTTATAAAGAGGTTTATAAAAAGGCGTATTTTATAGGCTTTAGTAATTACGAGTTAACTTGCTTTTTTAGCGTTATTTATAGGTTCTTTTATATATAAAAGTAGAAGTTCTATTCCGATTCCTAGTTTATTATACTATGTCTTATATATGCGTCTAACGTTTATAATTAGGAGGGCGGTTTTATTATTATTTCTAAAGAAGTAAATTGGGGTCCTTTTTTAATAACGAATTACTACCTCGAGGCTCTATAGTATAAAAAGCACTTCCTTTTTTATTTTAATTTTTAAAAAGAACCCCCTAAGTTACTTACTATATTTATTAGAAACTATAAATATATATTATCGTTTATTTAAAAATAGTTCGAAGTAGAAGAGATCTTAGTATATACGGTACTATAGCTATGAGGCTCTTCTCGAGGGTGGTCCTCTTAAGACTACTATCTTAGCTTTAAATAATATATATACTTTATACTTAACTTATAATAGAGGTTTAATACGCATACCTCGAGTCTTATATAGTAATTAATAAAGAGTATTAAGTCCGAGATAACTTATTTTAAAGTACTAGAGGAGTGCGCTATTAGACCTCTTATAGGTACGTTAATATAAGTAACGGAATTTTCTATAGCTAATTAGTAATATAATATTAGCTAAGCTCTATAAGATATGCTTAAGGTTTATAAAAAAAAGATAAGATTAGAAGAGTTTATATTTAAGGAAGATTAGATTATTCTTTTAAATAAGCTATTTTTTAATAGTATTCTTATAAAGCGTTCCCTATTATAAAGTATAATCTAAACTATAATATTAGAGTGCGCTTCTATTTAGTAAAGTCTTTAAGACTATGTTAATATAGAATCTTTTAATATAAATAACGTTCTAAAGCTTTAGATTATAAATTCCCTTTTTTTTAAGTCCGTTTAAGATACCCTTTATAATATAAGTACTGCGTATAGTAATAAGTAGTATAGTAGTTCTTAATTTAACGTAATTATTATTACCTAATAGTACGTAACTCTTAGGTTTAAATAGGCTCTTATCGTTAACTAAATATATTACTCTATAACTATTTATTACCGTACTTTAAAAAAGGGGGTAAGCGCTATTTATAGGGGTACTAAAGATTACGTTTACCTTTAAGTCCTAACTTTTTATAAGTATAGTAACTACGTAGCCCTTATCCTAGTTTACTAATAAGCTCGTTATAGGTTAGTTAGAGGATCTTTTTAGAAATCTAGGTTTCTTAGGGGTTCTATTATTCCTTAGCTAACTAGCTTTTTTAAGCTTATTATAGAGTGATTTTTATTTATTTAATTTAATAGTAGCGAGGACTTCTTTTATATAGCTCCTTAATATTCGTATTAGTAACCTATTAGTATTTCGGTTTATAAGTACCTATTTTAATTTTTAGTATACCGTAGGGTATTATAAGTATATACGATTATAAGAGTATATAACGTTATTTTTATTATTTATATTGTTAACTAAGTTAGAGCGTCTAGCGAAGGTAGAATAAGCCCCTTTTTAACTTAAAGGTCGTTTAGTATATACGTCCTAGGTTACTAAGCTAAATATATACGTAATCTCCTTAAGGGTCCTTATATACGTTCTAAAGGCTATTAATTTACTAAAAGTTTTATATATACGTTAGCCCTATATAGGGTTAAGTCTAGACTTAACTATAATTAAGAAGTTAAGTATAGCGATCTTTTTATTAATTTCTAAAATATTATACGTTTTAGCTTAGAAGTAAGTAAACTACTACTTTTTATATTAGCGTTAAGGGTTAATTCTAGTCCTCGCTTTATTAAGGGCTTATTAGTATTCCTTTCGAACTATATTCCTTATTACTAGTTCGGGGGGTATAAATTCCTACTTTAAATATTTAATAATTCGCTATATACTAAACTTAGCGCCGTTTTTAATAATTTTTTAAAATACGTATTCGTATAGTATAGTATTAACTAATTTTATTAATTACTAAGTAAGGATTTTAATATACGTATTAATAGTATTACGTTTATAAGCTATAAGTTACTTATATTTAGTATTAAGCTCTTATTATTTTTAAATATTCTTAAGCGTATAGATCCTTTTTATAGGTATAGTATAGGGATAAATTTATTTATATAAAATAAGTAGTATAACTAGCTTTATAAAAAAAAACCCAGCTTAGTCCTATAAGTTACTTATACTTAAAGAAGTTAAAAAGTTCGTATTAGGAGTTATATTTAAAAGCTATTAATAAAGGATTTCTTAATTTCTTTAGTTATTTTTAAATACCTTATAATAGGCTTAGTAAGCTCGTAGTTCTTTTTTATTATAAGTTATAACTAATTATCCGAATTTAAAAAGTAAAGTAAGCGTTATAAAAGGGTCGAGGAATATATCGGAGTTTAGAGTATTTAAGTTAACGTATTTCTAAACCCCGACGCTCTTATTTATAGTACGAAGTACGTTAAACTATTTAATCTAACTATTATAGTTAGTTAATTTAGCTTAAGCTAAAGTAGGTATAAGTAAGTCGGTTATTTTAAAAAAATCGTAAGAATCGTATTAATAAGTACGTTATTATAGTATAGGGTCTTAATTAAGAGCTAGGCTTATAATTATTACGAGTTATAGTACATAGTAATAGGTATACGGAGTATAGTAAAAGTAGCTTAACTATTAAAATAAAAATAAATAAAAAGAAAAGGTCTATATATACGATATCTAAGATAGATACGTAATTTAGTACGTGACGGGCACTTCGTGAGGTGCGATTACTATCCCTATTACGTGACAAAGCGCAACGGAGATCAATAAGCCATCGTTGAAGTACCGATCCTGTGATTCTTATGAACACATCTAGCCGCTTTATTTTCATTGAAGACAGATTTGAATTATATATCGTATCAAAATGAAACAATATCGGGATACATACGACAGGCGCGAAGGAGATATTGGACATTACAATGACACCAGCCGACCAGTGGTTTACGACGACCTCGACCCTTTTGGCCATGAAGAAAATCATCAGGTTCGTGGAGTGATAAGATCAGCTCTTCGTGTCCATCATGAAATTATCTCAGACTGACCGCAAACTGCAGATCAAGTATAAAACAATGTCATGGAAGCTTGTCGCGGTGCTCATGATAGCCGAAATCGTGAGCAACGGCATGCTATCTCTGCCATCATCCTTGGCGGTCGTCGGCATAGTCCCTGGAGTGATTCTCATCGTCTTCCTCGGCATTTTGGCAACATACACGTCCTGGTTGCTAGTCCAGTTCAAGCTTCGGCATCCAGAAGTCCACTCCATGGGTGACGCAGGCCAAATTCTCTTCGGACGGCCCGGCCGAGAACTGCTCGCCTTCGGAACCGTCGTCTTCGCCGTCTTCGCGACAGGCGGGCAGCTCCTGGCGGGCCAAATCGCGCTTGCGACACTGAGCGACAACAAGCTATGCCTGATGCTCTACACCGGTATCTTTGCCGTTCCGACTCTGCTCTTCAGCTTCCCGCGGACGATGGACCAGCTCTCCTGGCTCTGCATCCCTTCAGTACTCTCGATCCTCGTAGCCGGCATCGTGGGCATGATCGGCGCGGGCGTGCACCCGGCCCCGGGCCGACAAGTAGACGTGGCCGTACCCTCCGACTTTTATACGGCCTTCATCGCCATCACCAATCCCGTCTTCGCGTATGCTGGCCACTTCATGTTCTTCATCCTCATGTCGGAAATGCGGCGGCCACAGGAGGCGATGAAGGCGGCGTACACCCTCCAGGGCTTCGCGACGACGTTCTACGCCGTCTTCGCGGTGGTGTGCTACGTCTACCTCGGCAGCGAGGTCGCTTCGCCGGCGTTCAGCAGCCTGGAGCCGAAGTGGGCCAAGGCGGCGTACGGGATCGCGATACCCAACTTCTTACTTGCGGGTTCGCTGTACGCGCACACGGCGGCGAAGTTGATTTTTGTGCGGATTTTCAGAAAGAGCCATCACTTGCATAGTCATACGGCTGTCGGGTGGGGTACGTGGGCGGTTTTGGTAGTGCTCATGAACGGCGCGGCGTTTGTGCTTGCGGTGGGCGTTCCGATTTTCAATTATCTTATTGGCATAGCAGCGAGCTTGTTTGCGGCATGGTATACGTATGGTATCGTGGGTGCATTTTGGCTGCATGATAACTATCACGATTATGATGGATGGAGGCAGTGGGCGCGCAAGTGGTTCCAAGCCATGCTGGCGGTCCTGACGTTTGCTGCTGGCGGCTTCATCTGTGTTGCCGGGACGTATGTCACTGTGAAGGGCATCGTGGAGGCATATGAGTCTGGTGCGGTTGGGGAGCCTTTCAGTTGTTAGACTTGGAGTTAGTAACGCCCTGGTGAGGAGCTGCGGTAACAAGGTATCGGTAGGATGGGAAAGTGAATTTAATGGGGAATTCCTAAGTCTGCTCAACATTTCCGTATCCCCCAGTCGGTGTCTTGGATATCTCGACCCCTGTGATACTTCTGTCTCCAACTCTGAGGCTGATACCGTCGATCAGCAACATATTGAGGACACAAAGCATGTTACATGTCTAGTAGTGACAAAAATAGAATTAATTATTGAACGAAAACAGCCATACATCTTGTGATTTGGCGGGAATCGTTAGGTGATCAGTATGCTGCGCTTGCCACAGCTGCAACCAGCATCTCTTGTAACGACTGTTCTCCATACCCGTCCTGCTCAGCCACTGAACGGCAAAGTTGGAGCGTTGATACGTTCCTTAACTTGGAGTCTCTGGCAGCATGTGAAGCACAGTAATACCTAGTGAGAGATGGATAAGCCAATAGAGTACGGATAGAATGAGAATATGAGCTGATGATGGAAGTACGTACTTGAGCCCGGGACGGAGAAAAGGGACAAGGATCTTCCTGAATGACGTCAAGCTCGGCGCTGGGGACCGCATTTGTTCCGGTCTCCGCTCCCTCCCGCTGCTCCTCCACATGTGGGCCTCCCGGACTTCTACCTCACCAAACTTTACCTCGAGATCGCTAAGCTCAAATGTCTATGAAATCCTCTCTGATGCATGGCTGCTTTCAAAGGTGGTGTGTCGGTGTGTGGTGTGCCATCCGCTGATTGATTCTCATGAACTTCCATCGAATCAGACAAGACACGCGACACTCGCCAACCAGCAAATCATGCTTCAATCCAGGCCGGAAGCCGTCGTGCAGGGCTTCGCTCCCCTGGTGTTTCACTGGTTCCCGTCTTGGAATCTCGATGGAACCGACTCTCAGTCCCCTTTCTGGATGCTAGAAGAGGGCGTCCAGCGTCGCATTCATACAGCGTCTAGGTCGCAAACATGGCCTGCCGATGATGACTGGTGAAGTCATCGCCGCCAACCGCACCCAAGTGGGCACCCAATCGCCGCCAGCGCGCCAACGCGGTTGGTTCCTGGATTGGATCCAGCACCGACTGGCGTGCCAAGCCCTTCCAAGTTTTGGCTCGCCTGCTTTCTCACGCTCTTCTCCCCGTTGAACTTGCGCCGGTGCTAGCCATGATCCGCCCCCCTCTTCGCTTGTCAAGACGGCTTTTACCACCACCGGGAGGCGAGGAGCATTTGATGGAAACGGTATGATAGTGTGGCGTTTTCGTTGATGGCTTCCTGTTGGTCCACGACCATCAGCACACAGACTGGAGCTACTGGGCAGCTCCACGCCTCATCACGGCCACACACAACCCTCCACCCTCTCTCTTGTCTCCCTCCTTTAGGCCCGGCAGCTGTCTGCTAATTAGCACCGCTGCCATCGTTTGCAATGTTCCATTGACCGGTTGAATGCCAGAGGATGAAGGCTCCCCCCCGCGTTTTCGATTTCTTGGATTCAGGGCCAGGCCAAAAGTCGCCTCAGCCAGGGATCCAACTTCTAGACCGAGATGGGGTGCCACTAAGTCTAGTTTTTTCCCCTGGATTTTGATTCTGATGCTAATTCTTATTCTTGTTCTTGTTCTTGTCTAAACTTATTCCTCGATTCTCCTATCAATCCTCTCACGGGTTCGTTGTCACGTCACGTCACGAGCAAGAGCTCCATATTCTCAACCTCAAATCGTAGCCTTCACCCTCCAAAAGCTGTCGTTTCAATCATCATCCATTGCCCCAATAATAATAATAATCTCTATCTCTCCAATACCTCCATCACTCTGCCTGCGCAAGGACTGACTTCACAAGCCCTGCCATCCCGCTCCTGTGCTTGCGGGCGATGTGACAACCCCTACCACCCAACTGCAGGTGGCGACATCATAGTGTGCCTCGAACCATCCAACCGTCGTCCGCACATCAGAGCCTCCCCGTCACTATCTGGCATCCCTGACGGAACGGCCTTTGCCAGTTGCCACGCCTCTTTTCTCCCACGATGTCTTTCGTCAATCTCTCACGTCCCCCTCTCGACCATCGGGCCCATAGCGATACCAACGTCCGGCCTAGATTCAATTCACACAACACTTCCGACCGTCTAAGAGAAGGTTCAGGGCTCCGACCCAAGGCGTATCCAATGGTCAGCAACATCAAAAAGGGCAGGAAATCGGTATTCAAGGAGGTGGGACTGGACGACGACTTTAGCGACGACTGCGGCTCGCCCGTTGTGGAGACTTTCCAACAGTCTTGTGGCCGACAGGAATCGATGTCTAGCGAGAAGGTATTCGGAGATGTACCTGGGCTGGAGGAAGCGAAACGGGACGGCACATCAAACGATGAGGAAGACGACGCAGAGGACGACGGAGATGGGGACAGCAGGCGTTCTGCGACGGAACAGCGCGAAGCAGCGAATGACTCTAGACAACAGAGCTCAAGTCAGGCTGTGAAGGTGTCTTGGTACAACAAGCTTTCTCAGGGTTATCGACGACCGAGAATCAAGACGGTCTCTAGCGCACCACCACCTACGATCTCAAGTCTGCAACGCATTGGCATGATTGCACTACTCATCGCGGTCATCATCCCGGCATTCAGCTATAACAATGGCCGCCAGAAGATTGAAAGTGGTGCAATCGCGGGTGTCGTGCGTCCACGAGCAACGACATCAACGGATGTCTGTCTAAGATGGGCACAGCAGGGTGGGTTTCGGAAAACGTAGCATGGGTAACTCTGCTAACAGTGGTCAGCGGCTTTACTCAACGGCACTCTTTACATGTATGGAGGTCAATCCAAGGTGGAGTCTTCGCAAACCGTCAACACCTGGAGTATGACTTGCGAACCCCGTGGCTGAGACTCGGAGATGGATCTGACAATTACTTACAGACAACGACTTTCTCACTCTCGACCTAACAAAATCATGGGACACGAAATCGCCCTCTCTCAAGGGCATGACGATACCTAGTGGGCCTCCAGCAGTCGCCAACGGCTACTTGTGGCACGACTACGACTATCTCTATCTCTACGGCGGCCAATTTGCTGATAACGACGGCGCTGAAGGCACGTACGCCACCGTTGCTCCCATGTCGATCTGGCGATACTCTGTCAAGGACAACTCCTGGCTCGAGTTCAAAGACCCGCGCACGTCAGCTGGCAACTATTCGACTGCCGCCAATACCCCCGTCCAACGTTCCGCCGAAGGCGCAGGCTTGTCGGTACCTGAGCTCGGTTTGAGTTGGTACTTTGGCGGACACCTCGACTGGCTGACCACCGAGGGTTGGTCGACCCAGACTCCGAGGGTGTATCTCAAGAGCCTGCTAGAGTTTACACACCCCGGATACCTGAACACTGGTGTTGACGCGCTTCGCGCTGCTGGTGCTGCCGATGGCGGAGTGTTTCGCAACGTGACTGAGGGCGGGCTGCAGGAAACGGATGCGTTCCCGGAACGAGCTGACGGTGTCTTGGTTTTCGTGCCCGGGTGGGGTGCGAGGGGAGTCTTGATCGGCATGGCGGGAGGATCCGACAAGACATTTGTCGACGACCTCGGCACCCTCGATGTCTACGATATCGCTACGTCTGAGTGGTATCATCAGAGGACGACAGGTGACCGGCCCTCCGTCCGCGTCAACCCATGTGCCGCCATTGCGAGCGCGCCAGATGCCTCGAGCTTCCAGATCTACTTCTTCGGCGGACAAAATCTGCAGCCTTTTGTAGGCCAACACTCGTTTTCTGGAGAACTGGATAAGACTGACACATTCATGCAGGGCAACCAGACACAGTACAACGACATGTACATCCTCTCCATCCCCGCCTTCGCCTGGATCAAAGTCGACGCAACCGACGGTGTCCCCGCCCCTCGCGCCGGCCACACCTGCACCATGCGCGACGGCCAAATCATCGTCGCCGGCGGTTACCTCGGCCCCGACGCCGGGTGTGAATCTCCCGATGTCTTTGTCTTCGACGCGAGCAACCTCAAATGGAACACGGGCTTCAAAGCCGGAGCCCACGCAGCAGACTTCAGCTCCGAGAACTCCGTCCTGGCTGGGTCCTACGGCTACAAGGTCCCCGACAAAGTCCAGAGCGTCATCGGTGGTAGCTCCGAAGGCGGGGCTACCGCTACCACACCTGCTGCCGGCCCAGCTACGGGCGGTCCGTTTAAGACGGGTACGCCGCCGGTGTTCACTGTGACGCAGGGTGGCGCGACAGCTACAGTCACGGGCGCAGGACCCACGAGCACATCCGCGGGACAGGCGCCGACAACCAAGGATAACGGAGGCGGGACGAGCCCCGGCCTCATCGCTGCAGGCGTTATCGCCGGTATCCTAGGCGCGTTGGCCTTGTATCTTGGTTTCTGCGCGTGGCTCTACCGACGCCAGGTCGCGGCGTACAAGCAGCATCTATCTCAGGTGAACCGGTACTCCGGCGCAAGCTCCATGCACTTTGGTGCCGCGGGCTTCTTTGGTGCTGGAAATCGTGACGAGGAGAGGAGAGAGCGCGGACACCGCCGAGACGCGAGCACCGTCAGCGACGAATCCTTCTCATGGGTTGGCACCGGTGTTGAGCCGAAGTGGATGACGGACGATCCTACACCGGGCTCTGGATCTGGTGGCACGGCGAGTGGGAGCGGCGCTGGCAGCGGGTTCAAGAGGAAAAGTGAGGACGCGAGGACGTTTAAGAGCGGGCCGAGTGGGAACGATCCGCGCACGAGCTCCAGTCGACGCGACAATACGGACAATGAGAGTGTTTCCAGCACGGAGCAGTTGCTTGATGGGCAGGAGCCGAGTTTCTTCTCGGTTGTCATGGGGCCTAGGCGTGCTTTGCGGGTTGTCAACAGTACCGAGTAAGGTGATGAATAATACACGAACAATTTACGAACAGACTCTGGAGCGGGGGCCTAGGATAGGTAAAACACGAGATACACGAGGATACACGACCTTTTCTGTATATACACACACGATCAAGGGGAGAGGATCGAACCCTCAATCGCTCAAGCTAGATACCCTTCTTACTATGTACACGCTTCTTTCATGCTAAACCTCTTCCATTCAAAGACTTGGAAAACTTTGACATAACTCGTCTCCATCAAGGTAGCAAGGTATGTCCCTCGGCCGTCGGCCGTCGGCAGGCAGCGTCGTCTTCTTGACCGCCTCTCCCCAGAAACAAAACGCAACGATCGTCGTCCCATGTTTCTCAATTGACTTTTCCCGCGTCGTATGTCTTGGGTCTGTGGAACGTGCTTCTCCGCCACTTTTTGAATTGAGTTGATGGGGGGGTTCAGAGCTAAAACGGATGCAGACTACAGAATGCCAGTGAACGCATGGCCCAATCTGAGACAAAAACAACGACCATTGGCGGAGAGGATTGCGATCGACCGAGACATAGTGAGCTGTCGAACAAGATTTCTCAATAGTATCGCAGGAACACACAGTAGCTTAGGTAGTACAGAGAGGGACGGGCCGGCTTGGTTGAGCTTCATGTCGTAACTCGTACCAAACACAGCAGGATCGGGAGCCAGCTGATCGACTTTGTAAAAGTATCACTCTCGTCCACGGGCCTTGAGTCGTGTCTCTCCACAGATTGAACCACGGTACGGAGCAAATGAGGATGCATTCCGGATGTCTTCTAGCTCACGGCATAGCGGCATTCGGTCCTTTGACGCTTGTTTACTCGTCCATTCGGGGCCCTACAGGTGAGGGAATTAGCTAAGAGCTTGTGACTTCGAGATACTGGAGAAAACACCGTACAATAAAGTACACGGTCGAGATGTTGAATTCAAAGTTTGCGATGGAGCCCGCGCTAGACCCCAAAGCATCTTTGACAATGGAGAAAGCCTGTGGAGAGGGATGGGCAGTCCATTGACTCGTCGATTTCCCAATTTCTCAGTGGGCTCATTTCCCTATCAAACCTTGATCTTTGATGCTATTTCTGCCCACTGGTTTGCGTGATCAACAGATATTTTTTTTCTTGATTGTCTTTTGTTGAATCCACGGCCAGTCTGGACTTTTCTTCACCAGCGACGACTCTTCAGGTCAAGCTGCTCTTAACAGACCTGTCATATTTTCAATCTCTTGACTCGCAGCCACCTGAATATCCGACAAGGTCCTTATCGCGACATCGAAGGGCATGGCCGTTCCCCTTTCAAAGGTTACAACGACGTCCGTCACGTCATCGCGTATCCCCAGGGTCTTGACTCGACCCTGTTCCCTATTACAGCCAAATAAGCCCAGATAACCCTAAACAAAGCAACCCCCGGTAATACCGATGTGCCATAGGGATGAACTCTAAAGCGTAGCCCAGACTGCCCAGTCCCCATTATTCCCACCCGTCCACGGTCCACGGCGAGAGAGGAAGTCCCACTCTCGGCCGACCGAGATCGATACGACTCTGTACCTCGAGCCTCGACGCGGGCATTCGGGTTCTCCTGCACGAACTACCACATTCGTCAAAGTCGAGGATGCTTGATTGGGCAACATCGTCACGACTTCTCTACCGCGCAGTGCCCACACACACCACTCACTCTACTTGACGCTAATGTCGCGGGCCGGGCATCTCCCCCACACCAGACGGGCATGCCGGTGCGGTGTAAGGCGTGTGTCTCTCTCTCTGTCTCTTGGTTTTCGACGAGGATCGACAGCCGCTAGGCCTCATTCTAGCTGTCTCGCGAACATCGCATCATTCAGCTGCTGTGGCACGGAATTCACAATCATTCCCACCCCGCGAAGAAGCGGAGGGTGGATGGGGTTCATGTTTGTTTATAATGAGCGGCGGGGAACCCTCTTCCTTCGTCAAAGCTCTCCTGATAGTCTCGTCACTACAGTTTTCGCTCGAACCCGCCGATAATACCAAAAAGCCTAGCTCTCGTTCATAGGCTTTCTCTCCCTCCACTTTCGTTCTGTTTAGCCCGCCATGAAGTTCACTCTCAGCTCCCTCGTGCTCTCAGCAGCATCGAGCCTCGTTGCGGCCCTGCCCATCAACGACACCCAGGTCTACGATGCCATCATCGTCGGCGGTGGCCCATCTGGTCTCAGTGCCGCGAGCGCCCTCGGCCGTGTGCGTCGTAACACTCTCCTCATCGACTCTGGCGAGTACCGCAACGCACCTACCAGACACATGCACGATGTTCTCGGCTTCGATGGTGAGTGATCCTCGTTCAGATAGCTTTCATGTTCTTGTGGATGGTTTCTGATACAAAACAGGCGTCACTCCCGCATGGTACCGCTACGCCGCTCGCCAGCAAATCTCCCACTATGACACTGTCACCTTGACCAACGGTACCGTCACCAAGATCGGAGGCAGCGATGCCACCGGCTTCGTCGTCTCCGCCACCTACGCCGACAACTCCACCAAGTCGGTCCGCGCGCGCAAAATCATCTTGGCCACCGGTCTGCAAGACGACCTCCCCGAGACCCCGGGTCTGTGGGAGAACTGGGGCAAGGGCATCTACTGGGTACGTCACCACCAACATCCGTCCATCATCTCACACCAAACTTCGATTCTAACATGCTCATTCTAGTGCCCCTGGTGCGACGGTCACGAGCACGCAGACCAGGCCCTCGGCCTCCTCGCTTCAACCTTTGACGACCTCCCCTCGCTCGTCCGTGAGATCCTCACTCTCAACACGGACATCATTGCCTTCGCAAACGGCACCGACACCCCCGCCGCCCGCGCCGAGACGGAGGCCAAGAACCCCAAGTTCCAGGAGTACCTCGACCTCCACAACGTCACCATCGACAACCGCACCATCACGGCCATCACTCGCCTCAAGGACGGCGGCAACCCGCCCCACGACCCCTCCCTCCCCACCGCCCCCGAGGAGGATCTCTTCTCCGTCAGCTTCAGCGAGGGCGAGCCCGTCGAGCGCGCTGCATTCTTCCTGAGCTACCCCGACGAGCAGCGCAGCACCATCGGCGCCGAGGCCGGCGTGCAGCTTTGGGGTGGTCGTCTGGCTGCTGATGTGAGCAAGGGATACGCGACCAACGTGGCCGGCATCTACGCCATTGGCGATGCCAACTCGGATAACAGCACCAACGTCCCCCATGCTCTGTACACGGGCAAGAGGACTGCCGTCTTCCTGCACGTCAAGCTCGCAAAGGAGGACCAGGCCAAGGAGACTGGTGTCAATGTCACTGCTCTGAGGAGAGAGTTGGACCTCGAGGAGCGCTCCATCTGGGACGTTGCGAACGGTCAGCCTACCGACATCCTGTATGCCGGCGAGTACGACCAGTAAATAATTGATGTGGAACATACATCTCCCCAAAAGCATTTTGATTTTTTCGCGATAGCGATGCCAAAGATACCTGAATAGACATTGTACAATTTTTCGACTTCATTCACATACTCTGTCTCATATGTGTTCACTCCGCCTCATCTTCAATCTCAAGATTGCCGACCCGAAACTTCTTGCCCTTCATGTCCGCATAATCATTGTGATCGTGATAATCCTTTACCCGTTCCCTGACATATTGCAGCCCTCTCACCGGCGCCGCCTCCTCCGCATTCTCCCCAATCAGCCCAAGCCTCTTCAACAGCGGCGACGGCGCAGGCTTAATATCAACATCGTCACCAGGCCTCACAAAGTAAAACAGACCCTGCCGAAACAAATGAGCCTGGTCCTCAGGCGGCCTCACAACGCGATGCGTCGTCGACTTCAAGTACCCCGCGGACCAGAAATCAAGCGTGTCGCCGACGTTGCAGACAATGCCACCGTCCACAGGTGGGACATAGCGCCACTCGCCCGCGCCATTGGGATTTGACGAAGAAGAGGTCTTAATCTGGAGGCCCGCGACGTCCTGGCTCCAGAGGAGGGTCAAGGAGCCAAAGTCGGTGTGAGCGCGCGACCAGGTGTTGCCGACTTTGAGGTCGTCGGCGAGAGGGCGGGGGTGGTAGCCCATGTAGCGGAGGTGGTCTTCGCTCGGGGAGGCGTAAGCGTGGCGGGAGGAGAAGTAGTCTTCTGGGAGTTCGAGGATGATGGAGAAGAGAGTGAAGACTTTGCTTGCTAGGTCGAGAGAGCGCTATTGGTGTGTCAGACTTGCGTGAGTGAGACTCGGAGAATGAGAAGCCAGTTTGGTCGTCAAACAGAAGCCTGTGTAGATGTATACGCACTCTTGAAAAGTCTTCAATTTCTTGTCTGAACGGCTCGAAGAACGGATGGAATGGCTCATCTTTGTACTTCGGGATGAATTTGGCGATGTTAACCGACTCGACATTGTTGAGCACATCCGTTCCTTGCATCTTCTTATCATGCGCCTGATGCAATATGAGCCACTCTTCTTAAATAATCACATCCTCAGACACTGCTAGACTTACCGATCTATATCCAAAGTAGTTCCCCTTGGAGAAGTCGCACGTGTTACCCGGTCTGGCCTTATCTTCGGCATCGAGGTTGAAGAAACCTTGGCCAATGTCATACTGGCGCTGCACTTCCTCGGGTGTGAAGCCTGTGTTGATGAGACTAAAGAAGCCAGTTTCGTGTACCTAATAGACTTGTCAGATCTCTGAGATATTGCAAGACTCGAATGTCCTTACAGCTTGTCGAAGTTCTTCAGCTAGCTGCTTCTTCCCACCTGGCTGGTCAAACTTGCTAATGTCAATCACAGCGATATCTGCCCAGGGCAATTCGTGTTTTGTCTTTGCCGGCCGCTGCCATTTTGGCAGGGAGACTGGCTCCGAAAATATGGCTGAAGGCATCTTGATGAATCTCGAATTGAGGCGGCTTCTGGTTCCAGTGCGCAGGCTGGAAGTCAATTCGTGTGAGGTCATAATTGTCTTTCCATAAATACCCCTCCATCCGATGTCGAGCCGTTTATGTCTTGCCCCCCGCGCGCCCCGCGCCACTCCCGTTGTGCCGTGTCGGAGTGAGATCGCCGGAATTCGAGCACGCCATCTCGACCGGGATGACGAGCCGCATCCTGATGTTGGTACTGACAGCATGTGTCCAATCACCGTATAAGCTGTTCTTCTCTAAGCGTAACTGCCGCTGTAGTGTGTCGTTATTTTCGGTATGTTTCCGAGGCTTTTCTTTCCCATCGTCTTATATGATTGACAGATAAACATCGAAACATGTTTCGGTTTACCTGGGGGACGTCAGGTCCCGATGATCATGTAGTGTGCGTAGAATCGCGATTGTCTCGAGCCAAGGTCTCGAAATTTCGTCTCTCTCTTATATGCCTGTCAATTCCAATAAAGTTATCTTTGGGGAGTCAAATCTTGCTCGATGTTGGGAGGGAATGCAAGCAATATTGTTGTTCTCTTCGGAGTGTTAGCCAGGTCACTGCAACGACGGTCTCCGTAACTGAAGTTTACCTTAACGTGTGAATGTGACGTTGTAAGGACAAATCCAGGCACCTCGTTCCGCCAGACGCTGGAGGATTCGAGCAGAACAAGACAATGGCCAATGAGAATGCCCTCAGTCGTCAATTGCAGGACGTTACATGGGCAAACTTGCTGTGCACATGGCCCCGCAGTAAGGCGTGCTTCGTGCAGACATATCTTGGGCTCTGTATCTGCCGTAATCGGCATCAATTTGAATGAGAAATTGCGAGATGTGAAAGACCAACCATCTTAGATACTAGAATTAAAGACTTCACCTAGTTGATGCCTTTATATTACATCTGAAGCCATATCTCCTCCCTACAAGCTGTGCTCGATCACCTTCGCCCGCGGTGAACCTCAAATCGAGCATGGGAACCCAGCAGAGCCCCGAGAGCAGGACCCTCTCTCCCTCTGAAGAAAAGCCTCTTCTCAAAACAGCTCATCGCAAAGTCGATAAGAGGCTCCTGCTATGGTACTCCTTCGTCTACCTCATCATGCGAATCCACGTCAGCAATATCAGCAACGCAGCCATCATCAACCTAGAACAAGGCACCGGTATCAAGAAGCAGCTCGGCAATCTTTCCAGTTCAGAGTGGGCGTGGGCGCTGAGCATCTTTTATTATCCGTACATGTTCTTCGAGCCTCTGGCCACGCTCGCCTTGAAGAGGTTTACACCTTCGGTGTGGATGAGCCGGATTATGATTACTTGGGTAAGTATGTTGGGATGCCAGTTGAGCTCTGTGCAGTGGCTGTTTGGTTTGCTAACTGTGATGAAAGGGTATCATATCAATGTGCCAGGGCGCAACTCAGAATTATGCTGGTATTCTGGCCTGTCGGTTCTTCTTGGGGCTTGCTGAGGCCGGGTTTTACCCTGGTGTTTTGTACCATCTCAGTTTCTGGTATCCGACTCATAGACTTCCGCTAAGGATTGTAAGTTCAGAAGCTCTGGCTGAGTGAATGGGAAGACGCAAAAACTCATGCTTTTCTAGGGCTTCTTTTACGCCTGCGGGATGTTTTCTGGGACTATCAGCGGTCTTCTAGGTGAGTAGTGGAGAACTGGATGTACTCAACTGCTACAAATTGCTGAGACTGATTGATAGCATACGCAATTTCGTTTATGAATGGCGTCGGGGGTCTATCTGGTTGGAGATGGGTAAGTCACCTTTTCTCAAAAAGTCACCGCAAGTATCGTTGGCTAACTCAACGAAGCTCTTCATTCTGGAAGGAATTCCCGCCATATTTTGCGGCATCTACACGTTCTTCTTTCTGCCAAACTGTGAGTACTACATCATTCCTAGCTACGTCTCGGCTTGTTGTCAAGGTATACTCACATGAAACCATTTCTAGACCCCGAGACAGTCACCTTCCTCACGGACTCCGAAAGAGAAGCGATCCTATCCGATCTTCCAGAGCAAGCACCGACCATGAAGTCCAAAACCATCAACCTTCAACAGGTCAAAGATCTTTTCCGCGATCCGACTTTTATGCCATTCTTGATGATTTGGATTACCCACGGCATCGGCGGATGGGGAATATCCTTTGTTCTGCCGACTGTCATTTACGAACTCGGCATTTCGAACACTGCTATTTCACAAGTGATGACCATGGTAAGTTTCAAGGTCTTTCATGTTGTGCTCGTGGAGCGTGTTGAAGAAACACTAATCTTCAAATAGCCCCCCTTTACCTTGGTCTTCGTGATACTGTTGACGCTCGCCTTCTTTGTACACACGAAGCGACTTAGTCCCTGGGTCGCTGGCCTGGGCCTAGAAGCTGCCCAGATCGTTTGCTACGTGCTTCTCATCACGGTCAAGCATCCCATTGCCAAGTAGAGACCTTAACCCCCCTGCCCAATGATTTCAGGGCTGACTCTGTGCCAGATACATTTTCGTCATGATTGCAACCGCCGCGTCTCAAAGTTTCTTTGCTATAATATGGCCGGGTACGTGGTGCAAACCAAACACTACCGAAGGTGCCTTGGGCCTAAAACAGCTGACAAAAACCCTACTGTAGAGCGTATCAGAGCGGCGAAAGGAACCACGAGCGCAGGCCTCGCCATCGGTGTGACCAACGTGAGAAAGCCAAAGCTCCCACCTACCAGAATCCAAAGCGATGCTAATCCAAAATCAACCTTCAGGCATCATGTCAGCTCATGGGCATTGTAGTAAGTGCAATCCCATGTCAATATCTCGCTCGTTGCGCGTGCTAACTGACGAACTTTGACTAGGGTCCCCAGATATACCAGTCGAGATTCGGGCCCACATACAGGGTCAGCTACTCCTGCTCCATCGGCCTGCTCTGCGGAACGCTGTTGGCTGTTTCCGCGGCCGGGTTCTTCGTTTCTAGGCAAGATCGGAAGGAACGAAGCAATGGACGCGTAGAAGCAGAAGAAGACTCGGAAGATAGTGGCCATATGAGAGGAACCAGTGTTGAAGGCAAGGCCTAACTACTGGCAGTTACATCTTAAGAAACCCCAAAGAAGATATGTAGCTCCCTGTTCATAGCTTCAGTATATGTGGGATCGAGATTGGTAGTTTCCTTTGCCTTGAGATGTTGCAGGCTTTCAAAGCCAGGTAGAATTGACATACAGGAACGCAAAGTTAGGAGGAATTCGTAGCATATTGGACGAGTACCTAGGTATCGCAATCTAGTCTAGTAAAGGGGCGCAATAAAGGTGAGGGAAGTCTACCTCGTTACCAATGTAGTTCCCAGTCGCATCTCTTCTAGAAACAAGAAGGAATCAAACCTGATACTTCATCTTCCTCACAGGATAAAAAAAAGTCCATTGCCAGTGGACGGCTGATCACTTGGGCTAGTTTCACAGGGTATAGTTAGTCTTGGTGTAAAGCAACTTCTGGCGCCTGTCGTGCATGAAATATCTCTCTTCCCGTTCCGCCGCCGCGCGTCTAGCCATCTCGGACTGCGAGGAGCTCTCTTCGCTGGGAAGCATGATGGCACGGTCGAGCGAGTATGGCAGTCCGCGGTGGCGGCCGCGGATCATCATGGCGCAGATGACGAGCTTGCTGAACGTCGTGAACTCGCCGCTGAGGGAGGTCATGACCGACGGGTGTCCCAAGGACAGCCCGACGTTGCCGCTGTAGTTTAGTGAGCGATAAAAGACGTGGGATGGTAAGCGGGGTCGGGGTACTTGCTATGCGCTGACGACTTCAAAGAAGACTGGGAACACGGAGAAGGCCTAAGTTCAGAATGCATGTCAGTGATTGAGGTAAGATTGATCAGCACAGGGAGTGGGAAGAACGAACCGGCTCGTTGAGATCCATGATCCGTTCTGACTCTGCGATGCAGATGCAAAAGGTTCCCAGGAAGATGTACCACAGGTCAAAGCTGAGTTGGTTGCGGACGTGGGACATGATGTATGATGCGCTGTTACTCTCGTCGAGCTGGCTGTCGTCGCTGTAGATGCCCAGCGCCTTCTCCTCGTATGTGTTGGAAGCACGGATGCTGATGGCAATCGGGTAGATGGCAATGTACATCATGGACAAGAGACTGAATTGCACAGCCGGGTTGACGAGGGAGAGGTTCAGCGTGGCGGTACCAGTGTGACGCGCCGAAGCAGCCTGGAAGAGCGCGGATAAGATGCGCGGGCCCATGGGTAGGTCGTTGACGGCCGCGTTGTCGAGGTCCAGGACGATGATGAGCAGGACGTCGATGAAGTTGAGGGCGAAGACTATCCCGAAGAGAACCCAGGTGGGCTTACTGGGGAACAAGAGCGTGTAACACCGTCTCGGGTGGTCAAGCAGAAACTGGAGCTGTTCCCTGATGGCCGAATTCCGGGGGACGACTTTTGACATGCCCCAGATGGCGAGGCGGAGGAAGACGGGGTAACAGGTGTTTCCCGCAAAAGCGAGGAACGTCATGACGAGCATAGGCCAGGTCGCGTCCCTGAAGCTCGCCATCGAGTCCGGCGTGAGCGTGAAGCCTAGGTTGTCGACCATGGTCTGGGCCGAGTAGATGGCCCACCAGGTCCGGTCCTGCGCGCTCTGAGCCAGGACGTCCTTGTACTTTGACGGTGCGTTGTGGATCCACGGCACGAGGCAGACGACTCCAAAGAGATGGAGCCCGACGAAGTAGACTACCGCTGGATCAGCCAAATCTGTTTCCGAGGACAAGGGGGGTAATGCAGGCGTGTACTAGATATGACCTTGAGCAGGAGCTTCAGGCTCCGGTACTCGATGCCGCCGAGGGTCTCGCGGTCTTGTTCGGTGAGGTTGAAGAATTGGGAGTTGCGACCGACGGTAACCTGTTGAGATAGTCTGGGAAGGTCTATGGTGCGGGAGCGGCTGAACGTGCCAGAGCGACGCGATTCGGTATCGGTGTGTCTTGTCTGTCCCAAGACCAGCATCGAAGAAGCAACCTTCTCGATGGAGAGGGCCGCACGCATTGCAGGACCATTAGCGTGGTGCGGTCTCCGTCTCGACAGGCCAGTCGATGCCCTTCGAACAGGTCGGATGGCGTCAGTGTCTTTTCGCCATGTCAGCTCAACCACACACACCCTAGTCTGCTGGAAAGTGAGTCACAAGTGCCTACCATCAGTCTCACTGCGTCCAACAGATATCTCAGTGATCGGCTGGCCTAGAAAAGGGGCATTTAGCTAGCGAAGGCTGAAGAAAGAACGGCACACACCATTGATGCGATCTATAGGCCCAGGTACGTGAAGCACAGTGGTATCCGCACGACCAAGAGGCCTAATTACGGGCAGGCGGTCGTCAAAAGTGACGTTAGTCGGCCTAGATGTAGTTTTGGGCTGTTCGTCCATCTCATGGGATGCGTCCTCGTTTCCCGATGCCTGGAAGGAATGGTCTGGTAATGGAGCTGCTTCGTGCTGCAATGGCTTCTCACTCTCTTCACCAAGCTTGCGTTCAGACTCTGTGTTGGCCTCTACGTCTTCGCCGCCATATCTTCTGAGTGAACTAGGAGCTTCAGGGCCCTGTTAGCTCGGACAAGCATGAGTAATACGCTTTGCAACTTTACCAATAATTCGAAGACGCTGCCGGAACCAATACAGACGCGCTACGACCACGACAATGTTGACAAACATCAAGTTGGTGATCATAGGAATCACGTAAATGTACACCTGCTGGTAAGTCTTCAAGTCCTTCACATCAATGCTGCAACATCATCAAATTATTAGCTTCCCACTGCGACTTGGAATAAGAAGAAGGCCATGCTCCCACGTACGTGTTCAATCCAGACTCTGTCGACGAACTGCAGCCGAAGAAGAAGGCATCCACGGCGGCCAAGTTGCCGTACGGATATAGTAACACCCATGACAGTAGGCTACAGAACAAAATCCACATGTCTAAACATTTAAACAAGATCCAGTCAGTCTAATTCACCTATTGACGCCGACAACGTCGACTTCTGATGCGGCAAAACAAATCGCAAAGCCACGAGAAGAGCTCGCTCGCATTCGCCGAGGGCAAGGGCGCGACATACAGTGAAGGGAGATGAAATTAAGCTTTGGCTTCCACATGGCAGCGGCTATGGAGGGCTTTCAGAGGGGGGGGGGATGTATATTCGGACGCAGGATACGCCAATCGATGCAGTAAAGAAGGTAGCAACGACAAAACGTATGGTAGAAACCGAGTTGAGGGAGGAAACAGGCAAGTTGAGACACCGTGGAGGCCAGTGTCGTTGTAAATAGCGCATGACCCCAACCGACAGACGTAATCTCAATTTCGCCAAGACCAGAGGCCGCCAGCTACGCCAAGAGCACCCCGCACCGTAGGTATGGATGCGTACACCGGGAGAGTTGCGTAGAGAAGTTCTTGAAAGGTTTCTCCTAAGTTATGTTATTACATACTTAATATCTCAGTTGTCTCTGTATCTATTTCCTACAAGAGATAAACTTACACAAGTCCACGCAAGACGGATCTCACCTAACCTTAGAGGCTGGAACGGACGGCGCAGCGCATACTCTTCATAATCGGTGTGAAGCGACATCTATGCATTTCAATAGGATGACTATTGCATCTACATCCACATCCACATGCGTGAGGTATCCGATAAACAACACCCCAATTGGCAGAGATTTCAAGGCCTGGAGGACTCGTAGCAAGGCCATGGTACAAAAGTCGGACGAGGCCCAGGAAACATCTCTAAACTAGATCTTAGATTCTACCGGAGCGTTACTGAGAGGAAGAGCATATCACACATCACGTCATCAGTTGAATGTAGTATCTTGCAAGACAAAAATGTCATATGCCATGTGTCTTCATTGGCTATCGTGCTCCCTTTCCAAGGAGTTCAATCTCAGTATTTGGCCCTCCATCGGGCAACGACCAACGACCAACCCTCCCACCGGATCCGTTCCATCTGTCATTTCAATCGAATTTTCAAGGCCGCATACCACCACGCCACCGGCTATCATTCTTAGAAAAGCCTGATGAGACCTTCCCATCGCGAAAAAGAAAACAAAAAACACAGTTCCGTTGCGGCCGGTGACCATCCGAAAGTGTTTCCCCTCCCTGATTCTTTTTTTGTTGATAGATCGTACACGCTCGAAGACCATACACTTGGGTAATGAGTAGAGAGAAGAAAGTTTTCCCGTAGAAAGAGACCGCATGAATTATCCTTGCCACCTGCAGCTTATAACCATCTGCAGGCCCAAAGAGAGAGAGAGAGAGTCTTGTAAACAGTTAAGGACGTGTTCGGGGGCACCGAGGCCTTAGCCACCTCTCATTCCACCGTAATGACGTGGGTGAGATGGCCGACGACCACTACCTTCCTAGTGGTAGTTTCCGCCCCAACCGCCGCGCTGCTGTTGCTGGCCGCCGCTACCGTAGTATCCACTGCCGTAAGCGCCCTGCTGGCCGTAGGATCCGAACGGAGCGCTGCCGTGCTGACCGCCGGAAGCGCCTCCCATGCCGTAGGCACTGTTTCCGTGCAGGTTGTGGCCCTGGAGATGGCTGGGGTAACCGCCGTAGCCACCCATCTGAGAGGCGGACTGGGGCGGGGGGAGACCAGTCTGGCCCGAAGGAGTGTTCGTGGCCGAGCCGGGGCGAGCGCCGCCGAGAGAAGGCGAGGGACCGGCACCGGGCTTGCTCTCACCGAAAGGCTTCAAATCATCGTTGGCAGAAGCAGCGTTCGACTGGGCGGTGCTGTTAAATCCTTGTCCAGCAGGGCTCTGGAACGAAGAGGAGCCACGGCCAAAGGTGTCCTGAACACCGCCGAAGCCACTGCTGGCCAGGCCGGGCTGGTTGCCAGACTGGGCGGAACCAGCACGGCCTCCAAAGTCACCTCCAAGTCCTGAGCTCAGACCGCTATCGGCACGGTGCAGAGATGACTGGCCGAAGCCAGCAGCAGGGGAAGAGGCGTGGTCGTAGGGGCCCTGAGGCGACATGCCGTATCCGGGGTGGCCGCCATATCCCTTGTTGCCGCCGTATGGAGCACCGCCATATCCTCCCTGCTGACCGTAGTGGTTTCCGTAGCCCATGTAGCTCGAGTAGTAAGCGTTATTGTAGTAGGGGTGGTTATTGTAGGGGTAGCTTTGTTGGCCGTGAGACTGAGGCTGCGAGGCCTGGCTGGCGGCCTGCTGGCTCTGGGCGGTGGGGTTGGGAGTACTGTGTCCGCTGTTCTGGGCGTCGTTCGTGACACCCCCGTAACGAGACTGGTTTTGCAGACCGCCGCTCTGGGGGTACTGGCTCAAGTTATCAGCCTGCGAAGCATTGTAACCACCGAAAGATCTCTGCTGGGAAGACAGGTTGTCCTGGTGACCCTGAGCTCCCTGCTGGCCATAGGGCTGGCTGTAGTAGTTGTAAGGGGGACGGTTTTGTTGGTCCGCCGTGTAGTAGGAGGAGTAGTCGCTGGGAGCAGAGCTGAAGGCTCCGCCGGGTTGCTGGCTCTGTTGCGATTGCTGGTTGGAGAAGCTGTCGAACTGGGTCTGCGAGGCAGCGGGGTTATTGGACTGAGTGAAAGGATCGATCGACTTTTGGGGGAAGGACGAGGGCTCCTGGGGGCCAGCCTGGCCGAAGCGGGAGTAAGGCTGGGCGGCAGCAGCGGCAGGTTGAGGGACTAGAACAGTTGTCAGTATTTGTGAACAGGTATGAATACGTGACTCTGGCATGGAGGGGGACATACCCTGAGCGGCGGGAGCCTGGGGAGCAGCGCTTGCGGGTCCTGAGAAGGGTGCATTAGCAAAGTCGGTGACATTGCTAGTTGAAGCAAGTGTACCGGTAGGAGTGGCAGCAGCAGGAGGAGGCAGGCCAGGAGCAGGCTTCTGAGTACCGATGGCTTCAGGAACAGGAGCCTGCTGAGGAGCGGGAGGAAGAGAGGTTCGGGGGTGAGCGACGGGAGAATCAGCGGGAGGCTGAGTCCGGGTCTCGGGCTCTTCGCGATCACCGTCAATGTCATCATCCTCGTTCAAGCTGAAAGCACCGAACTGGACAGCAGCGCGGTCAACCTCACGATTGCCAGGCATGCGGACGGCCTCCTCCTGATCAAGAACGCGACGTTGGTAGCTCGGGGTGCGGGATCCTCTCTCGGTGGTGGCCTTGATGGCGGAGGCGGCAAAGCCGCTGTTAGTAGTGGGAACAGCAGGGCGGATGGGCTGGTGCTGCTGCTGGGAGGCAGACAGAGGTGTCGCGGTGGCGCTGGCGGCGTTGTGGCGAGGATCCCAGGAATCGGCGGCGGTGCTTGCGACGGTAGCAGTCGCGGGAGGGTGCGATTCGTCGACTACCTGTTCAAGATTCGTCTCAGTAAGTTGGTCCTTGGAAGGCGGCAAAACCACTTCAGGTTCGATGACGGTTGGTACTTCTGCAGGAGCTGATTCTTCATGGGCGGGTTCCACAGGGAGTTCGACGGGGGCAGCAGGCTCAGGCTGTGCCTCGGGTTCGGGCTCAGGTTCGGGCGTAGGTTCGACGGCAGGGACGGCAGGAGGGAGAGGTTCGATGGGTTCGGCGGGCTTGGGCGCGGGCTCCTCCTTGGGCGGCTTCGGGGCAACCTTGGGCACGGTGGATTGACGGAGCATGCTAGCCCACGTCTTGGGAGCGGCAGCGGCAGGCTTGGGTGCGTCGGTGGAACCGGCGGCGGCCGCAGGAGTAGGAGCGGGAGCTGCAGGCTTCTCGGTCGTCTCCTTGGGGGCCCAGGGGTCTTCGGCGGGTGCGTCCTTAACGTCCAGCTTCGGGGTATCCCATGCGTTCGACTCCTCGGTAGGAACAGAAAGCGGCTGAGCATTCTCCTTGTTATGGCGAGAGCCATTAGTAGCTACTGTGTTTGAGGCCCTGCCCCGGCCACCGCGACCTCCTCTCTCAGCAGTTCTTCCGCGACCGCGACCAGCCTCAGAGACGTTGCGTCCGCCACGAGTGGGTCTAGCGTTGGATGAGTCGATGTTCGAGGCTGCGGTCGTGGAGTCCTTGGCCTTGGAGCGGGGAGCCTTCTTCGTGACTTCACCCCATTGGGAGATGGTGCCTAAAAGCAAGAATCTTTGGTTAGCTGAGAGCACGCAAGCGATGTAGTTAAGCAGCGGTTGAGGGGAGAGAGGGAGGGAAATTGATGGATTGTTGATTCGTCGCGCGGGAGAGAGTTTGGCTGGCAGCCTGACGAGGCAGGAGCCGTGCGCTCACATACCTTCAGCAATGCGGGTGACGGTGAGGTTCTCATCACCATCCGTCTCTTGAAGAGCATAGAGAATATCCTGCTCAGACCAATCGGGGAAGAGCTCCTTGATGAGGGGCGCCTTGGATCCGTACTGTTTCTTCAGCTCGCCGAGCTCGCCTTGGTCCTCAAACGCATCATCGGCGTTGGAGTCAAACTTGTCGCCATTGGGTCTGCCTGAGGTGCGACCACCCCGGCTGGCGAAACCACCTCTTCCACCGCGCGCAGAGCCTCTGCCGCGCGAGGCGGCAGGCCGAGTCTGTACCTCAGACATTGCTGGGTTTCTTTGTATGAGGGGAGGGGTTTTCCACGATGGGAAAATTGGAGGGAATCAATTATTCACTGTCCCGTATCGACACGACAGCTTTGGTGGGGGTTTCTTCAGTTGCGTAACTCTTGCCGGTGAAGAGGAAGAAAAAAAGAGGTAGGAAAAGAAAAGGGTGCCGCAAGGTGGGAGAGACGACGTCGTCGTGATCGTGGCTGACGAGACGAGACAAGTGAGGTTTGGGTGGTGGTGGATGTTGGTGGGAGAAAGACGAGGTGTGGATGGTGGATGGATGTGGAATGTTTGTGCAGAGCCAGACGCAATTGCACTGGGGCACTGGGGGAAAAGTTCAAAGGGAGGTTTTTTGCCCAGGCGCCCAGCAGAGCAGCACACAACCTGGGAGCGCAGGAGCAGCCGACCTTTAGGCAAGGTACCTGCTCAGGTACCTGAGGTACGTAGGTAGCGAGTGTGTGGCAGCTGGGGTCCCGTCAGATTCGCTGTGGCAGCTGGTCCAGTCACAGTTGGCAGCAGCAGCAGCAAAGCCCAGTTGGAGCACGGTCGCGGTAGGGTAAGATACCTTACTAGCTTAGGTAACCCCAAGGTGAAGTAAGGTACCTTAAGTACCAAGGTTCCCCGTCAGCTTTCAAGCTGCCCTGTCTGGGCTGGGCCAGGGGGAGAGTTGGGGGAGGAGAGGAGAGGTGGGAGGTAGGTGAGATCTGGGAGTACGTACCGACAATACCTCCACGAATTTTGGTGCTTCTACTCTTTTTTTTCTTGCGTTGCTTCCTTCTTGCTGGTGTTGCTTGCTGCGTTGCGTTGCCCCCATTTCTGATCCAGTCAGGCTAAGGTTTTTGGCCTGAGCGACCGGCTGCAGCGAATGACGCCCCCTTCCGTCCGCAAATGGTTAGTGCGTCGTGATTGTAGCGGGGCATTGCAGATCCACTGCCTCAATTGTCGAGCTGAGGCTGCGTACCGATACCTACCAGGACGCAGAAACTACGTGAGCCTTCGAGTATATGGACACGGTTGCAGCAGCTTCGCCATCTTGGAGGAAAGTACCCAAGCTAAGTATCTCTATGCTCCTGTCGGTAGTATAGGTACCTGACTTGGGGACCTTCCCCTTGGCTGCTGCTGCCTTACCTGCTCAAGTCTTCATGTATGTTTTCCCATTCGTGGAGGGAGAAGATGAGGTAAGAAAGTAAAGCAGTCACGTCGAGTCTTGGACCTTGGATTGAAGGGATAGTTCCTCCAGCTCAGCTCACTTGGAATGGCCACCAGATCCCAAGAGGTTCCGGTAACTGAACGTTGAACAAACGCAGCAATTTGTGTAGTAAACAATGAAAGCAATCAACGGAGGCGCCTGGCCAGGTTGCTAATTTATTCAAGGAGCGCTGTTCAGTGACAACCAGGTAACAAAGCAAAACCTGGCAGTGCCACAGCCGAGGCCAGGAATGTTGCAAGTCGGGAAGCTCCAAGTAGCTGTTTCTAGAAAAAAGCATCGTCATTTCCCTCCAACTCAATTCGCCGCACGAAACAGCAATCCTAGTTGTTTGCTCTGCCCATCGCGAGGTCGAGATCCTCTGTGCGTCGGTGCATTCTTCGGATTCTACTGTTATATCCTTCAGCTTCACATCACGGCGTGGTGTTTACATAGATACCTGCCGAAACACGATGGCATTGTCACGTTGTTGTTGTTGTTACGTATCGCCTCTCGCAATGGGTTCCGTCAAGCTTTTGCCCATATGTTGAGGAGAAAGGCACCCTGGTCGACTTGTGTCATATGTTCTCGGTCACGAGGCTGTATCCGTCACTCAGAACCACCCATGTGCAATGGCGAGCTGAAGCTTGAATGGAGGTGATTGGTGTGACTTTCGATGTATGGATAACCAGTCAAGTAGCCGCTACAAGCGAGATCTCGAGCGACAGTGGCTGACCGTGGGCGGCCAAGCAAGCTATTCGCTGCCAGCGCCTGGATCACAGACTCTAGATCTTTTCAAGCGTACAAACTACACAGAACTTGTCCTCGTCAGAGAGGAAATAGCATCTCCATCACGTCTCCAGGCCACTCAGACAGCCAGCCGAGAGCCCGCATTTTGCCCACGCTTTCGATACGTACCGCATTTCTGCCCTGAGCTTTGATGTGGGGTGGGTGTCGAGGGCCTCTGATCATCCTGCCTGAGGTATCAAGGGAACCATCTCCGCATTATCCATATCACATGACCCGTCAGTGGCATGACGGAGGCCCGGCTCGGCGGGCAACCTGACTCCATGGCACCACGATGATGCGTGTCTGATGGTTCTGACCTGCCTTACCACTTCATACTTCCACCAGACGTTCCAAGCACCCCCAGCACATCGTCTTTCTCTGGGACCGCCAACTCCGAGCGGAGAGACATCCACTCCGTACTTCCGCACTTTCGGCAAACACCATCGACCACTGCATAATCTTGCAACAACTTCACAAAAGGCCGTCTGCGCCGACCCTGCTATTTCGATACCTCGAATCCTACGACTTTCACAATGTTCGCCACGAAGCCCCTGAGCTCTATCAAGAATGCCATTCCCTCGATTCACCAGCCGCTACCCCTCTCGTCGAAGCAGTCCAAGAAGCTTCTCAATGTCTTGAAGACATCCTTCCGCAAAAATCTCGACAAAGAGCATGGCTTCGCCCCCGAGACTACCGACTTGTCTGCGGCCAAGGCTACTTCTTTAACACACTCTCCGTCTCGCCCGACCGACCAACATCTTCGCTCCATTCTATCCAACCCGCTATTCAAGATTGGCGCTCAACTCGGCAATGTCCCTTCCACAAGTTCCAGTCCTAGAGATCCGATGGACGTCTTCGATGAGGCAGTATCGCGAGGCATGATGACAAATCGTGCGGCACAAGGCTGTCTGAAGGCGAAACGACTGCAGATTCTTCAATCCAGTACCCTGTCAGTGGAGGACTCAATGGCGGCATCTGCAGCTGGATTGCGGGTAGTTCAGTGGCTGAGGTCCTCTGGCCAGGAACGGAACCTGGAATTTCTCGCCGATGTCGGCTTGAGCCGTGAGCTCCTCACGTTCATGGTTGCAGAGGGGCTGGAGGAGGTCGCGTGGACGTGGGCGGACCGACTAGTTCGCGGTGAAGGACCTGCAGATGGCTCCAGCCAGATTGTGGGATTCTTGGTCGCCAACTTGGTGCGGGCGAAGTCTAGATTGGAGGACCGCAGCCTAGATACGGCATTTTCAACAATGCTAAGAGCGGAAACCACTTGGAAGACGAATTCTCAACTTCCTCAGATTCTCTGGCAACCTTTCCGCCATCTGTCCTGGGAAGCCACAGTCGATGCGTGGAAGCGACCACTACCCTCCGCGCCGCTATACGAATCCTTCGCCAGAACCGCTACCTACCAACGACCCCTGATCAAAACTATCAGACTCGACCGCGCACATTTGGACCTCCACCATCCCACTAACCCAGATCATACGGGGGCCTTGGCTGTGCTCCGTTGGTTCCTGGAGGATCGAGGCACCTTGGAAGGCGACGGCCGTCTACCTAGAAGGCTGAGGACAATGGCCATGGATATTGTCACCCATCTCACAAAGATCGGCCGGGCTGAGAGTGCCGATACGGTTTTGCGCCTGTTGCACGATAACTCTTCGACCAACCCGTGGCAGCAGCCCGGGCCACTGAACGTGTGAGCCATGTGTGAGGCGTTTTCTTTCAAGCTCACACCAACACATCTGCCAGCACACTCGGCATCACGCCTGCCGTCGTCGCCTTGGTAGGTGGATCACGCGACACGCCAAGGTGTCGTTGATCTGACAATTCCTTCTCACACAGGGCCTGCCTGAGAAGATCCAGAGCCGCGCCATCGTCAGTCACCAAAGAATCGACGCTGCTGGCTCTATTCAGATGGCTTGAAACAATCAGGTGGACAAATTAAGTTCCGGATTTGAGACTACACCATTTCCTGCAATTGCGAACCAAATGTCCCTGAGATGTGTCGTAATTAACCTACGACTGGATATAGGAAGGCTGATGGCTGCTGGCGACAACCTCTTTTTTTTTAACAAAGCTCATGAGATACCCGCAAATGAACAATCATTTCAACCCATTACATGTTTCAATCTCTTGAAGTTGTAGCTTTGGTGATGATGAAGTTCTCATGACTTCAACCCTCGGCCGCCTGTCTATGCGCAAACAACGAATGCGCTGTTTCGACACGGGAGGTCCCTCACGCCGAGTCTTACATGAGGGATGAGATGAACCAACAGGCTGGCTTGTTGGCTCGTGCCCAATCACCGTGCAATAGGCCGATCGAAGTTAAGATGGGTTGCATACATTAGTGCTTACTGGTCGAGAAACTCAATCGATTCACTATCTTATTGAATAACATCGAATCTTTACCATAACTCAATGACTGAATTAGACCTTGCTTTGCGTGACTGCACAGAAACTCCACGAGAACGCCATAGAAGAGAAGCAACCCACCCGGCCGCCTTTTCCATATCAGCCGTATGGTATGGAAGAATTGCACAATTTTCCTGTTTACCCTTCCGTTCCCCTCTTCACCTACCTCATTCCAGAGATATGAATTCCCCTTCCTCAATCCAGAACCCCTCAAGCCTTGTTCGCGACCTTCACCACAATCTTACCAGCAGCCGACCCCTCCTTGAGCTTCTCGTACGCCTTGACAGCATCCTCAAACTCGTACGTCGAATCAACCACAGTCTTGACCTTACCCTCCGCCATCCACGCCGCAATCTGCGCCAGATCCGCGTGCACATTCTTCGTCATGAACGCCTCAAACTTGTGCTTCGCGCCGCCGAGGAACCCCGGCAGGAACATGCTCGGCACGAGACTGCTCACCTGCGCAAACGACACCGCCCCACCCACGAACTTGAAGTGGCCGCCCTCGAGCAAGAAATCGTCAGACGCCTTGTACAGGTTCGGCGGCGAGTTTCCGACATTGTCGACGACGACGGCGAAGACCTTGCCCTTGGCGCGGAGGGTCGAGACGACGTCGGAGGTCTTGTAGTCGATGATCTCGTCGGCGCCGAGGGATTTGCAGAGGGATGCCTTACCGGTGGAGCACGAGACTGTAACGGTGCAGCCGAGCGCCTTGGCGATCTGGATACCAAACGTCCCCGTGCCGCCCGAGCCGCCGTTGATGAAGACGTGGTCGCCCGCCTTGACGTACGGCGCGATGGTCTGGTACGCCGTCAGGCCCGCCGTGCCCACCGCGCCGGCCTGCTCCAGACTCTCCGCGGCCCCGGATCCGTGGGGGAAAGCGGCTACGCCGTCGCGCTCGGCGACGAGGTACTCGCTCAGGGAGCCGTGGGTTCCCAGGGGATCGACGCGGCCGACGACGAGGTCGCCCGGGGCGATGTCGGTGATTTCGGAGCCGACGGCGACGGCGCGGCCGGAGAAGTCCATGCCTGGGCAGCGGGGGAAGGAGACCATTGCTTTTGCGACGAGGCCTAGGTCCGGGAGCTTGTAGTCTGCTGGGTTTATTCCCGCGGCGACGACCTGAACGAGGACTTGCGTTGGTTTGAGGGTCGTGGCGGACGGGGTTGGGACGGTTGTTAGGGCGAGGTCTTTGATGAAGGCGCCTGGGGCGGGGATTTGCCAGCGGCGCATTTCGGTGGGCGGTTGTTGGGTCATTTCGGATGGTCTTTGAGGTTTATGATGCACTATCAAGGTTTATGGTGTCTGTTGATGAGATGGAGATGGGTGGAGTGAGGTGAAGTATGAGGTTGTGAAGTTGTGAGTATGAGTACGAGGTTGGGTGTGGGAGAGAGGAGGTCTAGATAAGGCAGCTCAAGCTTCCTCCCCGCGGGAGCGCCCCGGTCATGATATTAACTTTCACAGACGGTCATTGCTTCCAAGGTGGGGTGACGGCCACTGACGAAGTCAAAAGTCAACCGGGCAGCGCAAGCCGGGGAATGCGGGAACCGTCCCCCCTCGCCAACCATCAGTCAGTTCATAACTCTCTTCCCTCCCTCTCACCGGGGGGGAATGGCAACCTAGCACAAGCACGGCCACACCGCACTCGATAAGTCAAATGGCGTCACGACTCGGCTTGCCCCGATCCGGCTTGTTCGCTCCGATCATTTTCCCGGAGACCCCGATCAGACCACGGGAACTCGGAGACTGGTTCAGACGTCAAGTCCAATCCGCATGAATCTTCAAGGTTGATATGAACAGGTGCTCCACCTCGTTGGGGCTGCCGATTGGAAGAAGCGGGCGACAGAAAAAAATTCCTGCGGTCGAATTTTTCTAGAAGAAAGTGGGTTTTTATGTGGCAGCTATGGCAACCAGTGCATGGCATGAAGTATCAGTCCTGGAATTTCTCAAGGATGCGACATACTTTACTATCTTATGCAGAGCAGTTACTGTAGCAAACGACTCCGATATGCAAGATTACGGGAATAACATCAGCCTAGGCTCTATTGACTTGTGAATATTGAGCATTCTGAGGTAAAAGTCCACGTAGGAAGGGCTGCATCTGAAGGGTCAATGAAGATACCGGTAGTCACTCCACAATTCCGACCTATCAGAGTATCGAGGATGCAACGCTGCATTGAGTGGATGCGTAAATGTGGCGGGTCACCCCACTATCAACGACAAGAGTCTTGATGAGGTCCAGGAACATCATTTAGTGGCTATCTGTTTCCGATTGATACTTAGGACTGAAGCGAGCTCATTAGATCTTTCTGCCGAAACTTTCCTGATAATACTCAAAGGCTAGGGTCAATGGGTGTTCACGATCGTTGTGGGTAATTCTTCACCTTCCTAATCGACCTTGTTTAGGATGAATACCTAGGCTGTTCGGGCCGGTTAAAAGTCTAAGCCATGGCATTTGTATTGAGGTAAGATAGAACATCATTCTGTCAACAGTTTCTTGCATTGTTTAGTTTAGAGCCGAGCTCTCTTGCCTAGGTAAGTAGAAGCACAAGACAAGCTTTCCATTTGGTATAGAAAGACATAACGCCTGATTCTTTCCTCTTTAAATCTCGATGCCATGAAATTCTTGGTATCTTATTCTTCCTCGTCAAGCAACCCAAATACGCCAAACGGGAATCCAGTGCGCGGCGCAAGCCATGCAGTATGTCCCGGGGTGCCTTGAACACTCTTCTTTCATCGATATCGTAAGCCCAGGCGATGCTTCCGCCAAAGTAACACATTAACTTCATACTTGCCGCGATTATCAACACCGCGATTCGACTTATCGTTGAAAGCATCCTCGCCCGAAACAACAAGAAAAACACTTGTCTTCATTATTGTTCGTTTCCCCCCTTGTCCTTCCCTGAAATGGAAGCCTCCACATCTCTTATACTTAGGCGCACCACGTAGACGCCCAGCGACCAAGCTCATTGGGCCCACAGATCCTCTCCATATCATCCTCCCTCAGAGCAAGAAGGACCTCCCAAGGAGCATCGCCCTTGGAAACACCACGACGCTGCATGATATTCATGCTGCCGTCGTTAGCAGACCATGTCTTGCGCACGTAGTCAGCCCTACCCCCCGTGCCCGGGATCCCAAAGTCCACATCCGCGCCCATGTGCGTCCAGACGCTGCAGCCAAGCCCAGCGTGGCCAGGCTGGAGCGCCTTCATGAAGGCCTTGCCTTCCATCGTGGGGTCAGGAAGGGAGGCGGCGAGGGCGATCCTGGCGGGGATGTAGCCCGGCGTGCTCGCCTTGCTGACAGCCTGGCGAACGCGCCAGGAGGCGTCGAGGATAGCGGGCACGGCGTCGCAGGAGAGGATGCCAGAGCTAGAGGTTTGAATTAAGTCCCCTACTGGTATCTGGCCAGTGGTGGTCTGTGTGTATACGTTGCCCCATGCCCCAGGGGAGAAAGGAGGGGATAGACGGGGGCGGGCATCTGCGGCGGTGGTGAAGGAGGTGTGGTCCTGCTCCGAGAGGTGGGCGAAGCGGGATCTGGTGACGTGGACCCAGATCATGGCGGAGAGGGTGTCTGCCTTTGAGACAAAGGCTTTCTCACCGTGCTTCCCACGTACATGAGCGAGGGCTTCGCTGTGGATTTCGGAGAGTATCTCATTCGGGAAGCTGAAGAGTACACAGACTGCTTTGGGGGCCTTCTCTGAAATGCTGTGGGTGCTGGTGACGGTGTTGCTGGGGCTGAAGTCGTACTCTGGGAACATGGCCTTTGAGATGTTGGTGGAGATATAAGGGGACATGAGCGGACGTTCAATCGCCTCGTCAAGAAAGGCAAGCTCAGGGTATTCATCATGGCCCTGGCCAAAATACTCAAGAAACGCCTTGATGAAACCGCCGTCAAAGATTGCGTGATGAGTAGAAAAGCAGACAAGGAGACCTCCTCCAGAAACCTCTGTAATCTTCAATGTAACAGGAGGGCAGGATTTACCCGGCTTTGGGTGATTAGGAGAGAGGGACAGGATGTCCTTGTCCATGAATGAAGGAGGCATGCCACGCTTCTTGAGACATTGGTAATCGAGACCTCCAAGGTGCTCAACTGAGCTATATGCAAAGATGTCTGGCCGCTGATCCATGTTGATCTGGGGATAAAGCAGATCATAGGTGAGCTCTAGTTCATTTGGTCGACAACTGTTACTGGCTGGGCCAATCTGGCCTGACAAGAAGGGCCAACGGGCAAGAGCAATCCCGAAGCGAAGCTTGAGATGGGAAATTGTCTCCTCGGTGTACTTCCCATCCTGGTCGAAGACGAAGATCGATCGCACGTAAATTCGCGGGGCGATTTGGTCCAAGGGACCGAGTTCAATGGTATCCAGGACGGTGGTGCTACCCATTGTGAATATTGGTGACAGTATGGGGAAGAGTTGTTGGTATAAGTGTAAGTGAGGGGTTTGGGACAGAAATAGCAGGTGTAGACCAAAGCTCACGAGGCTCGTGTGAGGAATCCTGAACGTCGCCGAGAATTGAGTGAGACCAACTTGGATGCGAGTAAAGGTACTTATTGAGCAGAAAAGACAAGCTGTTGCCCTCAAGATATGGTCACCTTTAACTATTGCTTGGAAAAGTTGTCTCCGGCTATTTTGCGACTGGGAATGGAGATACCTTTCGCGTTATGCGAAGGCGGGTAAAGTTGAAGTGCAATATAGCGGATATACAGGTACTGCCCTTTCTCGGAGATAGGTTGCTCTCGCAGCGCTCGTAGCTCTCCTAACAGATGCTTGGGCGCTGTTCTTCAAAATCAGGAAGCTATCACTGTGGCGAGATAACTTGCTTAGCCACTGATCTATCTAGGTAAGTTTGACTTCTTGGGGCCCGTGGTTGATCTCGTGAGTTTATGAAGAAATGATTCGATGAGTGAAATATGAAGTTCGAAGCATATGTTTACTGAGGTTTAAGAAGACATGTCCTCGGAATCCTTCCGGCTAAGGCCTGTAGATGTTCGGAAACAGCTGTGTCATTTCTTTTAACTTGTTATTCAATTTGATGGGAAATCAATTTGGATTGATTCATTTCGAGAACTGTAAATATGATAAAACGCATAATAGAGATAATTCAGCTTGAACTAGGGTCATGATCAACATGAAAGCACTGTGTTGTATTGGACAATGAAAGCTGCAATGTTATTTTACGTTTAGTCTTTTTTCCCTCAAAGGAGAGCAACACCAGCCCCTTGTGAATCGTTCGATTGGGAGCCTGAGCTTTGAACACACATATTGAGTCTCAGCATTTCCGGCCGCAGTTGCGACCTTTATTCTGAAACAGGGAATAAAAGAAGAAGGCTGAACGCCGTTAAAGACGCAGCGTCCGTAATGCAAAGGCGAGTTCTAGTCCGCAGGGCCGCTTGATTCGACCTCCACTAGCATCTGACGAAGTCCTGGTCGTTTGATCAATACTGTGCCGGTATCGAGAGGTGTCTTGAGGCATTTGCGAGGGAATATTTTGGCAGTGCAAGTCACCTTTATCAGAGTCAATTTGCAATACAATCTTTGAGCTCTGTGACAAGGGGTGCTCCGTCCTTCGGAGTTGATTATCGATGAATGACTTTGTGGATGCCGTACTCTGGAGTCTTGTTACGGGAAGACCGTGGAGGTCAACTGAATTGATCGCAGTTAACGGTTCATGGATTGGCCTCAGGTTACAGAATACAGACCAGTCTCTGGAGAAAAGTAGCCTCGAGTCCAGAGATAAGCCCCCTATCGTTGTCGAGATGGAAATATCTGTGCTTCATGTCCTGTCCATGGCAATCTCTCTATGTAACTCGAGAAAAGCAAATATTCCGTCCGCACGGAGGAGAATCGTAAGCCCTTAAATAAGGTAGGTCGCCAGCAAAAATAGTTCGCTATGGGTATCGTGATTGCGCACTGAGCTAGGGGCCCGGAGATGTAATGGGTCGTGTTCCCACGGCTCGTACTATCATTTTTGAGTTTTGCGCTTCGGTATCGTATGTTCAAAGGGTCGCCTTCGTTGTTGGGCAAAAAGATCTAGAGCCCTTGGCAAAGTCGGAGCACAGGATGGTCTTGATGTGGCACTTGATCAAGTCTCTAGCGTAAGGTAAAGTAGGTGAAGCAAGCATCGTAATTCTCGCTGGACATGGCCGCGTGGTCATCGTCGACGTAGACGTATACCGGGTTGGCCACCTGACATAGGCTCTAAGTGTGTAAAAGGGAACGGGAAGAGTCACCAGTCACTATTAGAGTATCCATTATCTTTTAAACTAAGCAATCATCAATGGAAACGGCATTAAACCTGCCTAAGTTGAATGTGAAATGCGAAGATCAGTAAATCTTTCCAACATCATGATTGGGATGTTCCACATTATAGGAGGAAGTACATGTAAGCACAAATCATTTTACCTGTATCACTGAATGGACGAGGGATGACTTCGTCCCATAGCGGTGTTGCTGGAGGGCAGTAGTTTCATTCCCTGACGTCTGACATCCTGTTGGCTTTCGATATCTGATATCAGCGTGCTCCTATTGTTTGCAGCCTCGTATCTCACGTTTGTGTGCACCATCTTCTTTTCCTTCTGGTTGTTTCCTTGATAGGCATTGACTTATGTTTCCAAGCTTGAAAATTTCGTCTTCGGCAAGATGAAGCTTGACCAAACGTATCAAACGACCCGAATGTAGGCAATATCGAGTGAGCTTCTGTACTTTTTGATATCACTACGCTGTACCTTGATTTCATTGTGTAATTTCCGCCAGAAGCAATCCATGATCCTGATAAGTTATACCACAATCACAATAACGGAACATAAGTTTAGTGTATAAGACATAGACTATTTTGCATGTTGCGTTTGCTATAAAGTCCTATCAGTACATAGACGATGACATTGGATTATAGCCTTTCCTCAGGCAAGATTTTTGCGGGCAAAATGACTCTCTCCTTATAGGCTAGTACTTCTATCCATATTCTCATCCCTGCATCACCAAGCTACTGGCATCTGGGATACGAGCTTCCACAATCAGGTGCCAGAAAACCCTGATTGATTCCCGGAGGGCAATACTCAAACTCCATGCAGTCTCCCGATGACAAAGCACAATGCTCCCCGTTGAATTTCTGGCCTTCGGGACATTGAGGCAACGTCTGACCCACGCATTCCTTGGAAGCAGCATCCCAAGTGGTATTGGAGGGACAGACAGGGTCCTGCTCTGACTCGCAAATCCTGCCGTTGAATTGGGTGCCCAGAGGACAACTAGGCTCCACGATAGACGCACACCGCTCTCCGTCGAACTCAGTTCCAGGCTCACAACTCGGGGGGTCACCAACGCAGACGGTTCCGTTGAAATGAGTGCCTAGGTCGCACTTTGGTGTCCCGCCCGAGATACACTCCTCCCCGCGCGGTACATAATCAGGTGGACAGGCCTTCTCCTCGACGTTCTGGCATCGGCCACCGCGCCACTGGTGATCGGGTGGACACCAGGGCTTTTCAATGCTGATGCAGGCATCGCCCTTAAGGTATAAGCCCTGCAGACAGGCAGGAGGGCCTCTGATACAGTCGCCGCCTATCAGTGCTGTATCCTTGGGGCAGACTGGTTTGTACCCGGTGACGCATGCTCCGTCACTGAGGGATGAGCCCTTGGGGCATGCAGGCGGAGTGCCTGAAACACACCGGGAACCATCGTAGGTGGTGTTTTCAGGACAGCTGGGAGGAATACCTCCCACTCGTGTGCAATCCTCGCCATCGAAGTGGGTACCATCCTCGCACTGCGGTCGGCCGTCGATGGCGCAGTCCCTACCATTGAACTTGGTTCCAGAGGGGCACAAAGGTAGCTCAACGGTGATACACTTATCACCCTGAATATGACTACCCGTGGGGCAGATGGCTTCCTTTATGGAGACGCATTTTCCGTTGGTTAACGTCGTTCCACCAGGGCAGACTGGGGACTCAATAGAAATACACGTAGTCCCATCGCGAGTCGAGCTTGGAGGACATTCTGGTGGCGTGATAGAGATGCATCGACTGCACTCCAGCTTAGTTCCGGGAGGGCATGTAGGAGGAAAGACAGTGATGGTCCTGCAAAGATCGCCAACTTGTGTGGTTCCCTCCGGGCATCCTTCGGGAGGTACCTTGTAGGAGCAAACATTCCCATCCCACTTCAGAGGAAGTGGGCAACATCGTGAAGTGCCTGAAGCCCTGTCGACAGACATCTCAGTCCCAGGTGAGCAAGCGGGCTCATCCGGGGACACACACTTTGTGTCTTCTAGGGTATCGCCAGGGGGGCATGATGGCGGTGTCTCCATGATGCAAGTGTTTCTCTCCACGCTGAACTTTGTTCCATGGGGGCATTCGGGGCCTTCCTTAGTGATGCAATTGCCTCCTTTGGGGGAGGTACCCGCTGGACATTGAGGAGGCTGACGATGGATGCAAACGTTGTTGACTTCGTCGTATTCGCTGCCGGCAGAACAACTCGGGGGCACTGTACTGATGCACATTCCGTCGGAAAGATCTGTGCCCTCAGGGCAAACTGGTGGGGTGGAACTGACACAACCTTTGCCATTAAACCGATCGCCATTGCCGCAGATGGGCAGCTTGGTCGAAATACAGATTTTATCGGCCAACTCTGTGCCAGAAGGGCACTTAGGTGGAGTTTCCCAGACACAAGCCTTATCTTTCAAAACCGACAAGGAAGGGCATGATGGCGGAGTGCTCGTGATGCAGACGAGCCCGTTGAAGGTCTCACCCTCCCGGCAGATGGGCCCGGTGACAGAGATGCAGTGGCTGCCTCTCAGCGTTGTGCCGTCGGGGCACCTTGGGACCCCGAGGACGCAAGAGTTGCCATCGAACAAGGTTCCTTCCGGACAACACTTAACGCGGCCGGACTCTGGGTCAGTGAGGGGCTTGATTGCGTCCAGAGTCCATTTGTTGCGGACTGCCGAGCCAAGTGGTGTTTGGAAAGCCGCTGCCTGGAGGGCAAAGAGAGAAGAAACGAGGCCCGCTTGAAAAGCGACCATTATGACAGGTCTAAAGAGATTCAATACTTGAGACTTCGTAGGTGCGTTGGAAGACAAGAAGGAACGCAGTCTTGATTGAGTGACACGCATCTTACTTAAGTATACACCTGATTAGTAGAGATACCGAAACATTCATACAGCACGAGAAAGAATACGTGTTGAGAACGGCGAGTCGGCAGTCGCTCGCAGAATGACGCTTCCCCCCATAACAGCCACGAAGCAGACTGAATCCGGTCCTTGCCCCATGCTCATCATGATCTGCGATTTCGCTGACCAGAGCTGCTTGTTGTCTGCAAACGTGAAGCGACTCTTTACGGCTGAATTGAGTCTTCTTGGGAGTCATATTTCGCATCGACCCCGCGTTGAACTCGGTATCAAGGGTAGGAATCACTAAAAGTTGAAGGAACGGGCGGAGGCACGACGCAAAGGCAAGAAGCGAAGCTGAATGTCAAAGACGACACTGAGCGTCGTTGGCGGCTGAGACCAACAAGCCACAGACTTGTTGCTTATCTATGGAAGACTCTTTCCGTTGAATCTGAACAGCTGCTTTCAGAAAGAGGCACAGATGAGCTTTCTTGCTGATTCAACGAGGTAACGTGCTAAGGGGATTATTACAATGGCCAAATCAATACATCAGGTCTGCTTCTTAGAATTCGATACAATTTGGAGTCGCTTCCGTCGGGCATGATTCGCCGAGATAGCGTCGTCGAGTGCGTCGCAAGCCTACTTGTCTGCCCGCTGTGGCTCTAAGTGTGCGGCTGAGACGCCTTTACCCATCAGATCATCTGAATTGACAAGGGATCTACCGAGACATGAATATCGGACCACATTCCGACAGTACCTACGTGCGTATCTCGACCCCTGGGACCAAACGATTCATGATTGATTTGGCCTAGCTCTGTGTCCTATGCCACAACGTCTGAGCTATAATTACCGATGCTTGCGGAGTGCAGGAAGATGCCTTCTCATTGGTGATTTCGTGTTCTAGGCGTTATTGCAAGCCATGGCTTTGGATTAAAGATCTCGGAAGATAACCCAATGGAATGTCTTTCAAATGGCCGCGTAGATGGTAGATCATTACCGAGTGCGTATGATTTGACCAATTTGGATCTAAGCTGCGGGGTACTTTGAGACAATGTCAAGGAACGGGACGATCCAGTTGCACGGCTATCGACTTTGACTAACCGCGTGTCTCACGAATCACTTCCGAACCCAAACAATTTCAAGGTCTCTAACAGGCCATCTAACAGATACTGAGGCCGCCATTCGACTCATTAGCTTCTGCGGGCGACAGGGGGAGCTGTTCCCGCTCAAAGCTGAAACTTGAGAAACCTCTCCATAGAGTCCTGGGAATAACTGGGTTGAAAATCCCTCTTAGTGACATTATGATGAATGCGTCAGACAATGTCGCTATTTTGCGGCTTTCCGGAAGAAGCCTCAAGGTTACCACGCCATTTCATTTCTTAACGCAGGAACTTGAAGGTGACAGGTTCCTGTCTCACTCTGCACGTAACTTTGAGATTGGTCGGCTCACATCAAGAACATCGTGGATAGCCGGACAGTCCGAATGTTAGCCCATGCATCAAAGTTAGCCTAAGCTATACTGGCGTATCAAAATCTATCTAGGTGAAGAAACAGTCATGAATTCAGCTAGACTATGTCAATGTATCTACTGCATTCATATTTCCATCGATGTGGCTGCTGGCCGGACGATCATTCGCTACATGGCAATCACCAATCAGAACTGAAATGCCTCAAGAATTACCAGTATCGGCCTGAACTTTTAGTAAGACAAGAATACCTTCCTCGAGTAGCGCACCCTAAGGTGATGAGTCTGATTAACCGCTAGTCTGAAATCTTCGATTATGAACCCGGCATGTGAAAAGCCGATCTATCTAGCTGAAATGATGATCATATGTCTTGAGTTTATCACTTGAAAGAAATTGACTTGATGTTTGTCAAATAACCCGAGACTTTCACTAGAAAATCTTGCAGAAGTATTCTTCAGAACATAAATTCGACCACTTGTGCAAATTTATGGGCGACGTTTTTACACGCTTCAAGGTCCTCCATCGCTTCTGCCTTGCTTGAATTACCTCAACTTAACTACGTCGCAAGTGTCCATCTCGCAGGTCTCGCACAATGCATTTCTCTTCGGCCGCGCTGCTCCTTACTCCGAGCATCATCGGGGCCTTGGCAGCAGACCAGGCACCTCTCACCAGCGACAACGGCAGTTGTCTTTCGTCCCCAAGCTACAAGTCATGCTGCCCAACGCAGAATTCCTCCGGAGAAGGCGGGATCAGCGGTAGCACCTTCGAATACACTTGCGGTTCCTGGCCATCTGCGGCTGTCAAGCACGCGGACAAGTCACTTACGCCTGCGCATTGCGCGGAAATATGCGCACGGGATCCGCAATGCGTCGCAGGAGCCTGGTCTTCGGGGGCTTGCTACATAACTAAAGACCCCGCCTACAAGCGCTTCGGTCCTGGTGTCCAATCCATCATACTACTCGTGAAGACGGATGATGCTTTTGAAGGGAGCACATCAGGCGGGAGTGGCCGCCAGAATGCAGCCGAGTGCGAGAGAGAAAAAGATGCCATTCAGAGCCAGATGGCATCTCAATGCGACATCGAGAAGCAAAAGCTTCAGACTGGCTGTAAAGATGATGTCCGGACGGCGGAGGAGAGTTGCAATCAGGAAAAGACGGCACTTGAGACGAAGGCGGCCACGCTTGCACGGGAGAAAACGCTGTGCGAGGCCGACAAGGCACGAGAACTTACCGTTGCCAAGGCGCAATGTGATGCCGACAGGTCTCGGGAGCTTACCGATGCTAGAACGCAATGCGATGCAGAAAAGTCTCGAGAGCTCACCGATGCTAAAACGCAGTGTGATGCCTTGAAGTCCGCCATCGAAAAGCAACTACAACAATGCCAAAATCAACAGGACCAGGGTAAAAACAATCAGCAAGGGTCTCCTCAGGAAGCCGAGTGCAAGACCACGTCATGGCAAGCCATGTGTGGTAGTAGGCAATGCGCGGATAGATTCTCCATCGAAGGGGTTGAGTATGAGCGAAGGTGCGGCGTGGCTACAACGAACACGAGGCAGAAGGTAATCTCGACCGCTGTTTACCGCACGCCGTGGGACTGTTTGAAGTCTGAGTGCAACGGAGTTCCGAATTGCATGGGAATTGGTTGGACTAATGCGTTTGTAAGTCTCCCATTCTGATTCCAGATCCATCACTGCCAAACTTGAACTTGGAAGTACGCGTTTGCTAACGGTTCTGGATGTGAAATAGAATCTGTGCCACGTTCACCTGCATGCGAACACTGTAGGAAAGGTCCTCAAGCCTGTCGGTTCACACCATGCTCTATTCAAGGTGGACTGGAAACAGCCATTCTAAGGACAGATTAATATTTTGAGGAAATGTAGAGGAGGTTATCCCCTAAGGGCAACAGGTGATGGCAGCATCAGGCCAGAGTAGCAAGAATCCCTAAGGCCATACAGACTGTTGAAGACGGTGAGCAAAGGTCTCTTTTCATCAATATGATTATTACTTCCAGCGTAATTAATCAATTGTCTGGGTCTGGGTATGTTTTATGCTGAACATGGCCGATCATGCATCTTATTGATGTATCTGGTTGCCGTCAACATATCAAAGCTGATTCATTGATGAGCCAATGTAGGCCACGTAAGCCTAGATAAATGATAACAAAGACTGAACAACAATTGCCAGAGGAAAAGTCTCTCGTTACATTGACCTCATTCTGTTCGTGAAGGCGATTCATTCTTCCCCCTCGAGTACACAACTAAGCAGGGCTGTACCGAGTCGGAAGCAGGTTTCCAGAAGTTGTCTACCATAACGCCGCGCAGGAAAGAACTTTCAAATCCAATTTAGCCATTCCAAACGCTTCAAATCCAGTTCCCGCCATCATATTGAAAAATCATAGTGTTGTAGCATCAGGTTTGGCACCTGGCAGCATCATGCGAAACGTCCAGCCCTGAGCTTCATAGACCTCACGCGTGACCTTCTTGAGCCAAACAGTCGGTACGATAGGAAGCCAAAACTCGCACGTCTCAGTCTTGAGTATCTCTGATCCAGCAGCCCAAGATGCTGAGGCGCCAACTGCATCGCCGGCGGCAAGCTGCGCGTGAGATAAGGACAAATGTATCGTCGCCGCCGTGAAGCCGGCTTCTGCTTTGAGAGCGTGCATACGCTGAATCTCTTGCAGGGCGTATCTCCATCGTGCTACGGCGACGTTCTTATCCGACCTGAAGTGGGCTATCCGAGCTACAGCGAGGACAGCACGCATGTGTAGCTGCTGATCAAAGAGCGTGTCTATACCAATCGGAGTGGCATGTTGTGTCTCGAGCTCTCTGAGTAGTAGTTCCGCTGCGTCGAAGTTTCCGAGTCCGATATTGAACTCTGCCGATGAAAGTAATAGACGCGGATAGGCCCTACGTGAAAGTTCGGGCTTGTTCGAGCTACTCAGCTCTGGCCGGAGAATCTCGGCCGCTTTGGAGTATTCTTCCATCTCGCAATACATGTCTGCAAGTCTGCTCACCAATAGTCGGCGTGTGTTTCCCCGCAGCGGTTTGGTCATGTCAAGGGAGAGAGTCTGTTCGAGGGAAGCCCTGGCGGCGGCAAAATTCCCGATGGATTGGAAGAAACGCGCTGCTGTGCTCTGGAGTCGGAATGTCACTTCGGTATCCAGAGTTGAGAGCGGTAATTCCGCCTTCCATTCGTAGATGAGCAGGGAGACGTCATCGTCAGTGCACTTGATCTTGTTCTCCATCTGAGATATGTGAAGCCGTCCATGGAGTGAGTGGTCCCGCCGGGTAACGGGTCGCGGGCCACGCCATACAAAGTCGCGTATATGGGCCTCTGACTTTGTGAATTCTCCATCATTGCGGTAAAGAACGCTGCGGAAGAGGACGACGGTAGCGTGAAGATAGTAAGGCATAGACTTTCGCAACAATGATCTAGCCCGGTCCACAGCAACATGGCGCATGGCAACCGAATCCCTTTCGCAGAAGAAAAGAATAGCCTCGAGGACTTGTGTTCTAAGCGGCGTTGGGACTTTGTACGCTCTAGTCGTCTTCTCAACAATAGGCCAGGCGGCCAATTTGAGTGGTTCAGACCTGGATGATCAAATATCAGCAGGGAAGTCCCCATGTCAGGTGTCATCGGTCAGAATTAGGCCATACCAGTCCGTATTGCCCTCGTAACATGGTGGACAAACAAAGCAAAGCACCTTCAGAGCGACTGTCCCTAGCTCTTCTACAGTCCTTGGTCGTAAGACGCGGGACAGAAAAACAGAAAATTCGGGGCATAGCGACAAAGCCAGGGTGTCGTTATCCAACCTGCGTTTGATGATATTAGGGCTCTCTATGGCACATGAATACTCAACATCGTCGGAAATGAGTTTGACAAGCTCGTTTGAAAGCCCAAACTTGTCAGCATCGACAGCATCTATTTCTCCGTCGGCATTCCAGCGGCGCTGTGGTCTTCGCACACCCTTCAGAAGGACCTCAGGGATTTCGACTGCGCCGAACGCTTGGAGTAAGAGCAACAGCTGATCCGCTGCCGGTATCAGCTCTGAATAGTCGACAAAAAGATTATAATAGGATGTTTTCAAAGATGGATCTGCGGCCGTGGATAAGTATAAGCCCAGGGAGGGAAAACATGAGGCAGCTCACCACGTAGCTGACTTAGAATGAGACGTTGTACTACGTCCGCGTGATCCGTGACTTGCGGAGCAAGAGATAGTAAATGATTGAAGACTTCCTCGTCATCTATGTTCAGGTATCGCTCATAACTTCCCGGCATAAGTCAGTTTTGCAGGTAACTACATGGGTAGTGCGCACTCTTGAGTCTTACGTGGAGGGCGGAATGTCTAAAGGAAGCCAGAGAATCGATCCCAGACCACCCAATTTTCGGGCGATTTGAATATACTTTCTTCCAGAATTACGAATATCCGCATAGTTTGTCTGTCCGTGAAATGGCTTGGCGATATGTGGTGGAACTGAGGCTTCAGGATCCAACTTGGATCTCAGGAATATTACTATGCAAGCCAACCGGCGACGCAAGTCGGCATTGACACGATCGTCAGAGGCTACCCAGAAGCCATCGACGTTCTCGCTGAAGACCTCATAAATCTGCTTGACGGGCGCGAGGTCAATGGAATCCACGGACAGGGCCTTGTTCGTCCGCTGGTTGCGTGGCGTGATTTGATACTGCACGTCCCGGGACAGTGCCTTTGACTTTGCCAGGAGTCGGCGGACGTCTTCAAGGTGGCTGTTGAGGGCAGGGATCAACTCTCTAGCTCGTTCTTCGTCATATTGCTTGGATAGAAGCCGAATCGAGCTACAGAGACATATAGAGTTATCCATCGCGCGGCGGCTCGGAGCATTTGATGGCGACTTGTGCGAGAGAGGCAATGGCACCCCCCCTTTCATGCAGAATTTGAGCTCCACCCATGCACCTCGGCTTTGGTCGGATTTGCGGAGAACCGACCCGCACTAGGAGTCATCAATCAACTAACCCTTGATCTCTGCCCACATTTACGAACAGAGACAGTTAGACTGCGATTCATTTAGTTCTTTATCAGCTTATCAGATCATGGCGGATCCCGTGAGTCCGCCGAGCACCGGGAGCATGGCTCGGAGATGCTGCTTCGGAGCACTTGAATGCTGAGAATACTATGGACGAGTGAGTAAGAAACCCGCTTCAAGACTTTTCTAATACTCACTATTAGAACTTCCCAATCATCTACTGAATTTTTCGAATGATCAACGACGTAAGCATCTGGTCGCACGCTCCCCAACTTGTTCCCCGTTGCAGAATCTTCCCACCATTTTGTCCGTGATTGTTCAACATCTGTGAAACGAGCAGGGCCTTAACCATGATCTTTGCCTCGTTCCAAGAGTCAACGAGTTCCTGTTGCGAATAATCATACAATAAGAACTTAAAGTGTCTTGCTCAGATTTCTCGTTCGAGACACGAGGAAAAGGTTTCGCAGTTTCGCTAGATAGAATCGTGACTAAGACCGTCTCGCTAAGGTTGCTTAGAACTTAGGAGACTTCAGTGCTGAAGCATCATGAAATCTTGAGACAACAGTCTTGCAATATAGTTGAGGTATCAATCTCAACACCCGGCCAAAGTTCAAGTCAGCCAAGAATACTCTTCAATATCCACAGTCCTGAATCCTGAGCTGTGATTCCGCCCTCGAACCTGAACAGATGATCGTTGTCTCACTAATTAGCACACTTTCTCCAAAAAGTTGAGCAGGCTAACGCCACAAGCTCACCGAGTCCGATGCCGGTAGTCATTCTGACTTCCCTTCGTTGCGTTGTTCTCCACTTCGCCTGCCATCAGGAGGTGTTTGCTCACCGTGAGAAATCTGCAGCATTCCACACCCCTGTCGTCTGGGTTTTCACCGTCGAGGCTTTTCTCACCGTGAGAGAACGCTCGATGTTAACTACCCTGCAGCTTTGGGGTAACCCAGCTTAAAGATGGGATTTTGTCAGCTGTCAGTGTTCAGACTGGGACTTCCCAAGCTGTCTTACATAGAACGGCCAGCTGGCCAGCTCACGTGTCAAAACATTTGTCTCTCAAGCGACCGCGTGGCATACTGTGTGTGGGCCCTCCGAAAATCTCTTTGGTGGATGATCTTATCAATCTTATCAATCTTTCCCCATGTTCATCTTATCAATCAGCGCACATCTCCCGTTTCGTGACTCGATGTGCCTGCGCGTTCGTTCTACCTCGGTCTCACACATCCGTCTCCTTAACCATCCTCACCAACAAGATGGTGCAAGCATTCAAGAGCCCAAAGCAGAAAGCTAACGAGGATACTTTGCATTTCTACGTCGCGTTTCTTTTTGGTCTCGTGTTTTTGACCTTCGTAGCCTATTGGCTGCGCGAGGCTTCCAACAAGAACCCATGTTCTAAATCAGCTCAGGGGCTGAAGGGTCCTGGACGCCGGGCATGCGTTAACTTCTTCCGGTATGTGGGAACACGCCTTGTCGGCCCAACACTTAGATGCTATCATGCTAATGAGGCCCTCAGAAAGTTGGAAAGACGTGTGGATTGGGGATGGTTTGGAAGGCCCTCTTTCGGGTTCATCGCGATGGTTGGAGTCTACATCGTCGTCAACGTCACTTTATGCTCAACCAACATCGTTATGAGGCGCCTTCTTAATCATTGGGCATCTAGATTTGGATGGTAACTCTCTTTCACACTCTTCAAGTCTTTTCGCATCGACTAAATGTTCCAGGATGTGTGCCGCAAACATGACGCTGTGCATCTTTTTCGGAATGAAGAATACACCCTTGACTCAAATGGTGGGAGTATCACATGCACAGCTCAACATTCTACACCGCATCGTGGGATATACTGCCGTTCTGTTGCTAGCTCTGCACGCCATCTTCTACACGATACACTTCCATCGCTATGGCAAGCTGGCTAGCTTGCTGAAACCCGAAGACTTGGCTGGTATCGGCGCCGCGATCGGAATGATCATTCTGTTCCTCGGCATCCTGAGACACAGGAACTACGAACTTTTCTACATTAGTCACATTGCTGGCTTCGCGGCCGCCGTCATCTTGACGGGGCTGCATCGACCAAACTGGGCAAAAAGAATACCAGCTTTGATGAGCTTTGCGTTCGGACTTTGGCTACTAGATCGTACCATCAGAGCCTCCAGGATGCTTTACAATCTCGTCAACAACTCTGTCGCCTTCTATCCGCTCCCGGATGGAGGCACGCGCCTGCTTCTCAAAAGGCCAGGCCTCCAAGCTGCCTCACCCGGGACTCATATCTTCCTGTGGATCCCGCGGGTCCATATCTATGAGAATCATCCCTTCACAATCGTGAACAATGGACCCTCTGGCTTGGAGATTGTGATGAAATCTCACCAGGGTTTTACCAAAGCTGTCAGCAAATTTGCTACATGCCATCCTCGTTCTACGGCGTGGGCATCGGTCGACGGGCCCTACGGTGTATGTCCCAACATGGACAACTACGACAAATTGATCTTTATCGCTGGTGGGAGTGGAGCGGCTTTCACGTTTGGCCTCATGAATCGGATCCTTGGACAGTCTGAAAGACCTAAGCTTCAGTCCGTCGAGTTTGTGTGGACTGTCAGACGTACAGGTGAGTTGTATTGCATACTCTTCTTTCGGTGCGTTTCCCTAACGCGGCGATAGATCATCTGAAGTGGTTCTCCGAGCATCTCAGTAACCTCATGAAGATGGGACCGGCTGTCAGAGTATCACTCTTTGTCACAAACGAAGAGGCAACATCAAGCTCAATAGCCCCGCCATACGATATCGCTCACGATGTCGAAAGTCAGCTACTTTCTGGAAACAGAACCCCGGGTTATGGAGCCGTATCGAGCTCCGACGATACAAGTAGTCTGCTTGCCCGAACAAACGGCCATGAAGTCGAGCAGGCTTATAACCTCCATTTTAGAAGGATGGATATAGAGTCGGTTATCAGTGATGCCATGCAGTTTGTTGAGAGTCGCCAAAGAGTTTTGATGGCCACTTGCGGCCCAGAATCGCTGATGGAAGCTGTAAGGGATTCGGCGGAAAGTTGGCGGAAGAGGCGAGACCTTCGAATAGACGTACACTCTGAAGACTTTTAGACGGGGAACTAGAGATATCAAGCTAGAGCTCAAATCACGAGCGATAAATTACAAGTTTCTTTTACTTCCATACAAGACGCTATTACTTGCCAAAAAAGTGACATGGCAAATCTCACGAGGGGTAAATGAGGCATCCGTCCCAGGGAACCCAAAGCCCCTGCTGTCAGCCGGCACGATGCCACCCAAGATGCGCCCACTTGTCTAAAAGCCGCCCATGCCCATCATAAATGGGTCGCGTTGGGGCGCTTGCATTAGTGCACTTCGCTAGGATTTCAAGGTGTGTGGAGCCAAACCGACGCCGAGCCACGGTCTGGGCGGTTTATCTGATGTACGAACAAAGATTGATAAAACTTGATCCTCCTGCGCCTCCTCGGCGGTAAACTTTGGCCCTTTTCATGCTCGAAAATCTCGTCTTTTACCTATTATCTCCTAAGCCACTTGTAGCTGCGCTCCGCAATGGTCTCTAAGGATCCAATCGAGCGGTCTCTGCCCGTTGCGAATGGCGATGACAACGCCTCCCCAACACGATCCGAGACCGACGAGAAGGGCATCGCAGACGCTACGACTTATCCTTCTGATGATGCTGAATCAATCAGAGACTTCCCATGGACGTGGAAGGCTACCGCTCTCATCTGTGGTGTTGCCCTCTCCTGGGGCTCGTCTTTCTCCGAGAACACCCTTGGCCCTCTCAAGAGCACTTTGATCAAGTATCTGAATATCAACAACTCTCAGGTAAGGTTTGGAAGTGAGGTCTTACAGAGAAAGACCTTTACTGACTATTTCTAGTACGGAGCTATTTCCTCGGCCACATCGCTCGTGAACACCGTTCTTCCGATTCTTGGGGGTTACGGGCTCGACCACTATGGTGTCGAATGGTAAGCTCTTGTCAAAGTTTTCATTCTATTAGAGGAAAACAAACAGCATAAGGCCTTTATTTGCTAACATGATATCAATAGGGGTTCTTTGGCGTGCTCAGTAGCAATTTTCATCGGCGCGGTGATATCAGCGGCTGGCTCCAATCAGGATTCATTTGCTCTAGTAGTCGCTGGCCGAGTAATCATGGGTTTTGGCAGCACTGTTATCGAGACATGCACATCTAAGGTCGGTTTTTCTTGAGTGCTATGACGTTGTCAAACTTCAATCAACAACCTGGCTAACGACGGTTGAAGATCTTGGCCCATTGGTTCCAGCATAAGGGACTCGGTTTGGTGTACGGCTTAGATCTGTCGATCGGTACGTTTCTGCTATTACATGTACACGACAAGATGCTTCAGAGATACAGATACTGATGTTTGGTCTGGATTTAGGAAAACTCATCGTCCTCATTGCGAAAGCCACCGCGGTCCCTATGCGAGATGCTACTTCATTCTGGGGCTGGGCGCTCTGGATCCCCGCCATCGTTTGTTTCGCCAACCTTTTGCAAAACATCTTCTACGTCTGGTGGGTCTGGACACGTCCAGCCTGGACTCGTATGCCCACAGGCCAGGAACGAGCCATGGAGATCACTCGCCGTGAACGTCTGCAGGCTGGTAACACCGAAGTTGCGACTACCAACACCAGCAAGAGTACCCGCACATTGCGAGCTCTTCCTGACTGGAGCTCCCTCCTCCGCGTCCCTCGCTTCTTCTGGCTCGTTGCCTGCACACAAATTCTCCAAGCTGGTGTGGTAGGCGGGTTCAACGGTCTCAATGCCGACATCATTACTGAGACTCGAGGTTCCACCGCTCAGCTTGCTGGATACACATCCGCAGTGCAACAGGTCATCCCTGTCATCTGCGCACCATTGATCGGCTCTTACTTTGACTTCTTCGGTCACCGAATGGTGTTTGTCAGTGTCACATCTGCCATTTGGATTCTGGTTTATTGCCTCATTGGATACACACAGACGAATGCTCTTGGCTCCATGGTCATCGCATCTGTGGCTTCGACAATGAATGCACTTCCCTTCTTGGCATCGATTCCCCTCATCGTCCCTGACCAGCTCGAACTTGGACTCGTATTCGGAATCTGGAAGGTTTTCAATAATGCTGGAAGCGTCATCGTGGACATGATTGCCGGAAGACTGCAAGACATAACCCCTGGAGGCACATATGAGCGTGTCATCGCCTTCTTTGTGGCTGTCAAGGGTCTGGAGTTTTGTCTCGGCCTGTTCTACGGGATCTTGGACCGAAAGTAAGTTGAGGTTGCTGAAACATGATATGCACTCGTTTGGTTTACTAATATCCATGCCTAGGTATCTTTCGGGAATTCTTAGCATCAATAACAAGAAGCGGATGGGACTTGAGAAAGAGGGCAAGCTTGAGGACTGCGTTGGACGCAAGCCATCTAAGGTATACACGGCAGTAGGCATTAGTCTGGTCTGCTCGCTGATTATCATCGCCTGGGTGCTGTTCATTAAATATTCCATTTGATGTTTTTGCATTGAGATAATGTCAAAATTGACAGAATTTAGCTTTACATATTGCTGGACAAGCTACTGCATCACATTTAGGGCAGCAGAATGAGACACAAGCTCTTTTTCCGCAACAGAGGACGTAATCTAAGGTGCTTACAAATATGCAGACATGTATTTAGCTATGTAAGGTGATAAGGAAGTATCATGATGAGACTTTTGGCCGCTGGAGAAAATTCCCAATGCCTCAAAGCGTGTATCGGAAGTCGGGATGCCTATCACCCTTCTTTCCTTGGTCAATCTCTCGTGACCTCTCATCGATACTCATGTTCTCCCTCTTCTTGTTGATTCTGTTCAGCAGATTCCACATGGTAAAGTAGCCAACCGACGCAATCGTAATGGTGCAGATAGAGACCGCATGACCAATCGTGTATCTTCCGTCCGAAGTAGTGATGCGGTAGATCTGTCCAGCCATGATACCAGCGCTGTTTCCGATGGTTTGTTGTAGGCCAATCGCTGTGGCACGCTTGAAGTATCCAGCGTTGCTGTTCGAAATCCACGTGACGTTGAGGCCGACAACACAGTAGATACCCGTTGCCGTGACGAAAGTCGCAAAGTAGAGGACCGAAGTTGACTTCATGTTTACACCAAGCATCAGAGCGTAGCCTGTGGCGGTGATCAAAGCCATAGGAACCATGAAAAGAGCACGCTTGTTGATCTTGTCCGAGATGTAAGCAATAGTGAGGTAGACTGCCGATGCCCAGATGTAGACCGGCACAGTCAGGAGCTGGGTCTTGATGCTGCTGTATCCAAACCCGCGGATGATGACTGGCAAGAAAGTTCCGAAGCCGAAAGAGCAGGTGTTCGCGCAGAATTGGCAGCCAGCTGACAGCCAAACCTTGGGATCTTTGAATGCGAGTTTGACTTCTTGTTTGTCGAACGATTCCGACTCACCCTGGTAGACCCTGGACTGCTCAGCACGGATGCGCATCAGCGCCTTGTCATCTTCGGTAAGCCATCTGGCCGACTCGAAGCTGTCAGGAAGGAGAAGAATGAAGGCCAAGCCAACCGCCACGGAGATGACACCTTCAATAAGAAAAAGCCATCTCCATCCAGCCAAGCCGCTCGCACCGTGCAAGCTTGTCAGCCCGTAGGCCAAAAGACCGCCAAAGGCACCAGACAACGCAGACGCAACGAAAAGGTATGAAATTCTTCGAGCTTGCTCCTCGCGCTTGTAGTATGTGCTAAGGTAGAGCGTCAGGCACGGGAAAAGACCACTCTCAAAGACACCAATGAGGAGACGAGTTGCGAGAAGACCGGCATAGTTGGTGACAAAGGCCGAACCGATAACTGTTGCGCTCCAGGACAGGATGAAGAATGGGATAAGTCGACTCGGCCGTGCTCTCTTGAGAATTAGGGATGCCGGGATTTCGAAGGTGATGTAAGTTACTGAAGTCCGTGTGAGCTAGTGTTATTCGTTTGTAGAACAGGGTGTGTCATCCTACCATAGAACACAGTGACAGCGACATTCAGCTTGTTGCCCGTGAGGCTTAAGTCCTCTGTCATGCCTGCAATTGCGGCGTTGCCTATATGTAGATCCGGACCCAATTAGATTTGGTTGATTAGAGTAAACCTTTGAGTTGAGACTTGCGTACCGATATTGCTGCGATCGAGGTAAGCGACTAAGAAAGCAATGATCATCATTGGTGAGAGCCATGCGTCCAATTTCCTTAGAAGACGCTTTTCCGCAGCCGGGTCGATCGTGAGGTCGGAGCTCGCGGCTGCCGAATGGGGCTCGATATCACCATCTTTGGCGTCCATTGGCATCTTTTCCGAAGACATTGTTCTATGTCCGGCGGTTGTTGAACGTCTAAGTTGATCAAGCGAATTGAAGCAATTATGTTGCGACTCTGTATAGAGCTGACGACATGTCCATATGACTAGACATGGTATCCCTCAAAGGGCATATATCTACCTTATGCGAAAGATGCATCACAAAGGCACGGTGAGGTCACTGCATTCGCCTATCAAGCAAAGTCGGCTTTTGACCGACGCACATGGCTAGCCATCGGGAAATTGGCAAGCTTATCGTCGCATCGAAAGACCATCCTGGTGGTCTAGCGGGGGCAAAGCCGGGGAACGTAGGATTCTTATCTCTTAGTCCGCGAATAGCCTAGAAGCGCCGAGCTTTTCCTTTCGGCAAAATGTGGAGAGACTGATAGCCAAGTCTCTTTTGCGACTCGAATACCCCGACATCGCCCTCTGGTCCGTACAAAAGAAACCCATTTACCGATCTTGCAAGCACGCGACAATACTTCGGCAGACAGTCCGAGCATCTTCTCAATGGATACCCCAACGCCCAGGACGACTAATCCGAAAAGTCCGATTATTCGCAAGAGGAAGAGAGGTAGGCATGCGGTTGCGTGCGAGTCGTGTCATCGGCGCAAGCAGAGAGTGAGTGAGCTTGCAGTCTCAATTCATCTTGGCACGATACGATGGTCTCATCGAAGCCATCTCTTCATTTCCTGACAGCCTACATGAAGCACCATTACGCTGAGATTCCATTTTGAGTAGTCTTGCTGCAAACATAATTGACGGCGCCAATGCTGAACTCAGTTTGACGACGGCTTGCAGGGCTTCCTCAGATTCTAAACCAAATTCTATCATCTCACTAACTTCACCTCATCAGTGCAATGGTTCGCGACCATGTTTCAATTGTGAAAGGCGAGGAGTCGGTTCGTCGTGCTCCTATAGTCACTTAGTCGAAGACGATGGCCCGAGAGTGTCTCAAGGCCACCGCGATCCTCTCATGACTTCGCCGAACGCCAACTTGGCGACCCCAGTCTCACCTCCTTCCACGAACGCAATCCCTGCACGAGATGCTGAGCAACCTGATAGCTCCTCGAATTCCAGGACCTTCCCATCAAGATCTTCGAGTCGCGGCGGAGGGCGGCAAGGCGAGAGTGGCAGCCAAGATCAGTCCTCAGAAAACCTCGTCGGCAATCTCTTCAAAAGCCGCGATGCGCCATCCTTCTTCGGCTCTTCATATTTCGGCCCTCAAGCCGCCGCAAAAATCATTCAAGCGCCGGCTCCAGAGCTATCAAGTGGTCTCAGCTCAAAACCCCAGGCGGGATCAACTCATTCATTCAGAGAAGAGAATGGCCCCTTCTCTCAGATTTGGGATCTCCTCGGACTGCTACCGCGCAAGAAGTCCACAGTCGATAGGCTGACGGAATGCTTTCTTAACGAGCTCAACTGGGCGATTGACGCGGTTCAGCCAACCTCCTTCAAAGCCAAGTACGAAAACTTTTGGTCTCGCAAGTTCGGCTTTGATGACTTTGCCACGATCGATCTTCGCTGGCTGGCCTTGCTGTTCATTGTTTTGGCCTATGGGGTGTTGTTGGATTGCCCAAGGCCGCGGAACAGGGAGGTTCAGCGTGAGGTCTATGACACATCACAGCGGTTCTACTGGGCTGCTCGGAGAGCCATTGTGATTGCCCCGACTTTCTATGGCGAGTCAACGGATCTCGTGCGAGCTGGTGTTCTGGTCACTCGGTATCTCATTTACACCCGTCGTGTACCGGAGTCGTGGCTCACAACGAGTTTCGCTATGCGGATGGCTCAAGCGCAGGGCATGCATATCGATGGTGAACGGTGGAGACTTCCCAAGAAAGAAACAGAGACCAGGCGACGACTATGGAGTAATCTCTACATGCTCGATAAAACCATAGCACTAGCTCTCGGCCGGCCGTTTGCTATTGTTGATCAACAGTGTCTTGTTAAACAGGCTTCCAATGTCTGGCTAGACGACCTAGATGACGAGGAGGCTGCCTCAGTCCCAGAAGCACCCCTTTCTGAGCCAACCGCGAGCGTCTTCAGCCGGCTCGCTCACGAACTCGCCGTGGTCGTAGGCAAGATTCAAGAGCGATGTTTCGGTCTATTCACAGTTTCATATGAGACTGTTCTCACGCTTGACAAAGAGATCGATACCTGGAGAGGCAGGCTACCACCGTATTTCGAGTTGGAGGACCCGGACATCTCCAAAGACGACCGTCTCCCTTTCCTCCCCTGGCAGAGATTACATCTGCACAGCATGTACCATTTCACAAGAGTCACACTACATCGACCGTTCCTTCTCCGCCAATCCATCACAAATCGGTACAGACACAGTCACGACGTATGTATAGCTTCCGCCTGCGCAGACCTTGACATGGGTCTCAGAATGTTCAATCAACCTCTGAACGACCGCTTGAAGTGGAGTCTGGGACCACATAACCTCTTCAATAGTGCTCTTGTTCTGGGCATCATAGCTGTCCGTGACCCTCACTCTCGACGTTCTCAGGCCATCCTCGAGGACTTATCTGCATACTGCGAGATGCAGAGAAATGACGTCTGGCTCAATGAGTTTGCCCTCGCTGAAGTCAAAATAGTTGAGCTCTGTGTCAAAAAGGCAAGGCAATCTCACCCGCCACCAGCCAACACCCTAGTACCGCTAGCTCTGGCTTCAGCCTCACCTAGCAGGCGCTTCTCTCAGCCCGTTGGCCAACCGCCAGTAATGGAGACACAACCTCAGTTGCCAGTTGAAAGTCCCGACTTTGATCCTCTGATGGCTGGTCTGGGACTTCCTTACAGCACGACAAGCGCGCAGATGACGTGGGATGATCCTGGATTCTTTCTTCCCGAGAGCGGAGACCTATCGCAATGGGAGCATGTTATCAACACTCTTATGCATGATCATGCAAGCATGTGATCTCAGCATGAGTTATAGAGTGGCAATTTGAAAATTATGAGGAAGTCGCGAATTTAGGTCTACATTCAAGCCAGTGCAAAACTTATAGACAGGCATTTCCAGTACTAGATATAACATAGCATTATCTCAAATGTTTTTACCATTAAGTATAAAGTATCCGCTGTTGAGACTAAGTAAAATGAAATAACAGATGAAGCCTAGCTTTCCGGTCTTAATTCGGAAGGTCGTGAGCAGACTTTTACGAAATTTAGTTGAGACACCTAATCTTCTACGACCGCTCAAGTCGGGCTGCTAGAACGTTCGCCCGAACTATGACAATAGAAAGAGAATATTGAAGTTTCATAAGTATAATTGGTTTTGCTTTCTAAATACTTCGGTATCTACACTCGCTTTTGCCGCTGTCATAAGTACAGTAACTTTTCCCAATTTCCTTACGCAGCGGGGCACCTGTCTCCGTTCTGGGGTAGTCAATTAGTATATGAAGGTTTTTTTTTGGAAAAAGCTTCATGTAGACTTACCTCCGAAATGTCACCCGGCGCAATGCACTTGCAGCCATCCTTGTTGTAGCGGACGCAGCACTGTCGATACAGTTAGTGACTTGTCTCAAACGGACCAATTCATCTACAAGACCACTCCTGGCCTCGAAGTGGCTTTCGTGAACAGTGAACATTTCGGTTGGCGATTAGCAGTGTGACTTACCCAGGCACCGGCGCAAGCGGCTCCAACACCACCGCAGTTGCTCTTAATGCACTCCATACGGACGTCAAATACGCTGTTGCTGCTAGTGCGCTCAGCGGCAACGCTGGCCATAGCCAGGGGAGCGGTGGCGAGGAGGATCAGCTGGGTGATGGTAGAGAACTGCATGATGGCGACTAGGCTGTTTAGTTGCTGAGAGAACTGGATGGTTGATTGACTTGTTGGGCAAAGATTGAGTATTTGACTGGTTGATTGACTGTTGACGAGGAATTTCATCTGCCATGATTACTGATTCTAGCTCGGTATTTGTACTTCTGATATGGGAAAATACGGCATTATTGCCATCCGGCGTCCGGCATTGCCTTCTCCGGTCGTTGCGGTGGGCATAATTCTTCTTACCCCGGAGGCTAACGACAATTAATCTCATTCAAAAACTGATGCTGTGTTTAATTACTTTGACTTTGTTTTGCAGTCCACAACGCGCTCTGTCCAAGTATCGGTGTCGGTTTCGGTTAGTTACGAGTCAGCGCAGTAAGTATTACTTGCACAATAAACCGACCTGTCTTTGTGCGTACCTTACTCGTAGCTAGCAAAGCTCCTTTAAGCTTTCCATACGGATACAATTTCCTACCAGGATAGCCAGGGCAAGATTTCGCGGTTACGTAGCATAATTAAATTGAGTCTTGGGCCACTTTCCAAGGGCGCGACCCGCCAACCTAAGATACTCGTATTCCATTTCTGCCAAAGTTGAAGCTAACGAGCTGAAAGCTTCTCTATCAGAGAAATGATCGACACACAACTATTTCCTATTTGTTGAGCATCCAATGCAGTCAAATGGAGATGGCAACATCATCACAACTCGTTGCACAATTCATCGCCTTTAAGCGTACGGAACTTCAATTTCCGTAAAGACCCATTGACGGTATCTGTAGTGAACCTTATCTCATCGGACAGCATAGAAGCCCGTCCGAGACGACTCTTGGCCTTGTAAGGCTTAGGAGCCCCGGATGTCGGAGTCGCCCCGCAAGGCATGTGCATTACGGCTATGCATATCCGCATTATCAGCGGAGAACTAAGTGGTAATTCCGGGGACTTGGAAACTCTAAGTCGTGCAGGACGGAGGGTTTTACAACGATCTCTGTATACTTACCTAAGCGGCATGGCTCTCGGAGTTCGGGACTGAGCAAGATACGTCACAATGCCCCTCAAGTTGACTAGCGATCCCAGAAAGATGGAAATGTCGATGTAACAAAGAGTCCAAGTTGGCAGGTCTAACGGATAAATATGTGATGTCCATTCTGCAGTGGTCTATGAGTGCTTCCTCAGCTTAATGGAGTCCATTGACCTTGACTTCTTTCACCCCATTCACACCGTTCACCACTTTAATTCCATTTGACCCATTCATTTCCTTCTGGGGTTTCTCCTCGTATTCCACCTTATTGACCAAACTGCCTAGGCCGTGGCTCATCACGATGCGAAGGTCATCCCCAGGAGCCAAGAAAACAGGCGGAGTTCTACTCACACCGATCCCGTGAGGAGTCCCCGTCATGATCACAGTCCCGGCCTCCAGTGTCGTGCCTTGAGACAAATACGCCACGAGCTCGGCAATGGGAAAGATCACGTCGTCCCCTCTACCCTCTTGCATCACCTCGCCGTTGAGGACCGTCTTCAGCTCAATGACTGAAGGGTCTGGGAGGCCGCTCGCGCTGACGATACACGGACCCATCGGAGCAAAGCCGTCGAATCCCTTTCCGAAACCCCATTGAGCGCCGGCGAATTGGTGCTTTCGCGCCGTGACGTCGTTGGAGCACGTGTAACCGAGCACGTAGTCCATGGCATCCTCCACGCTGACATTCCTCGCGTCACGGCCGATGATGACAGCTAGCTCAGCTTCGTAGTCCGCTTGAAGGTCTGTTGCTTGATGAGGGATGAGGAGTGGCGCGTTTGACGCGTTGAGGCAGCTTGCGGGTTTGAAGAAGAGAGTTGGATGTTCTGGAAGTTCGAGGTCCATCTCTTTGGCGTGCTTGCGGTAGTTGAGACCAATGCAGCGGATCATGCCGATTTCTTTGCGTGTCAGGGGCGGAAGAAGCTTCTGGACGTTGAGGATCCTTGATGTTGGCTCTGCTGAGGCGTCCAGGGCTGAGATCCCAGTGAAAACCCGCACCGGTACAGGGAGGGATGCAGCCAGCGCAGCTCCAACTTTTGAGAGTGTCAGAGAATATGATTTGACTTGACCAGGAAGAAGAGGTCATACCGTCGACAGTCTCGTCGACTGGTTCGCCGATGTATTCCCTCCAATCATCTTCCGCGATGAATCGCACAAGCCGTTTCCATCTCTGAAGATTGTCAGTTACAAAGACCTACGATGATAATGGTGCTTTGAAGCCCACTTACAGGAGTTATCATCTTGACTGACTAATTCTGAGGCTCAGTTTACGAAGAGATTTGAATTAGTTGATCGTGTTGGATTACAGCCTCAGGTGAATTCGAATGAGCTTGTTTGCGATGAGAGTCGGTATGGCATTGCCTATGAGGCGGATATAAACACCCGCATCCAGAAGACAATCCTCCGACCATTGACCGGATGCTGACTGCATCGAGTGACGTCGGTCATCCTCCGTAGTCGTGGCGCTTTTCCCGATGGCTTCGGGAAATGTGATCGGCCTTTTCTCCAAAACCAAGGCCAGTATCCGCACCGAGATAACGTCGGGATCCTCACCCCGCAAAGCCCACCTTAAGTCGACAAGAGATGGTCCGGTAGATAGATAAAGACTGGTCGATAATTATGTAAAATTCTATAAACAACGTAGGGAGAAACGTGGTTCTGTCCCTATTCTCCAGACACGCGCCCACGCGATGCCGATTCGGCCACTTTGCCGGACCCATCTCCAGTGGGCCAGACTTCTCGGAGGCCCGAACGCTTGGGTTGGTCTTCCTATCTCCATTTTCACGACTGGTAGCTTTTGGCTTTCGAGAGATCCGTCTATCCATACAGGTCCACCACAAGAGTCAGAAAGCTTTGCCTGATTAAGGTAGTTGAAGTTGTGGCATGACTATTCCTCTGAGGCCGCTGAGGCCAAAGTTGTCTGCCACACTAGCTGATGGGCCAGCAAAATTTGCGGCCCTTGAGTGGGTCACACTTTCATCCACGTTCCCACAGCATTGTTAAATTCAAATTGAGCCTCGTCCCTCAACAATCAGAACAAGCACAATAGCTCAGGGGTAGAGCGCTGGGCTCATAACCCAGAGGTCCCTGGATCGAAACCAGGTTGTGCTACGAAAACCTTGCTTTTGAGAGTGTTACCTTTTGCGGCTCCTGTCCTGATCTATGCAGTGTTTTCTTTTGTTCTTTTGTAGGGTGACAAGGACTTGAACGTCTACAAGGGGCACAAAGGACAATGAAACTTTTGCCGAACTTCAGTTGGCTACTCCTTCGAGCCTCCATTGTTCGGCGAAGTGTTCGTTATGAGGTGGGCACACTCTCTTTCACCAGAGTTCAACGCCAAAATGTTATTGATGGACGTCTCCATCATCTTCATTGTACTTATGATATAGGACGACATTCTGGTCAACTTTCATTGTATGCCGAGCCTAACTCGATTCTGTTCACCTTATAACCTTCTGTCAGGACTCTCCCAATGATTTCCGTGGTCGTTGGTGGTAGCAATGTATCATGGACATTCCCACTGATTGCTTGTATCAAAAAGATGGATTCACCAACGCCCACCGACCATTGTGATATTCTCGGCGTCGGGAATGACGCGACACAAGAACACAATGAATACGCGTTTCATGGCCTGGTGGAAAGAGCTCGTCAGTATAGTCAGCATGAAGCATATGACAGAGCGGGAAGACCTCGGAGTGCAAACCTGGCCAGTTCGTCCAGAAACCAAGATTCCAACAGGATGTTAACCCGACATGGACACTTTTCAGTCTATCAAACGCACATCACTGTCAGGCCTCGCCGGTTAAGGGATAGCTTAAGGGGGCATGAGGAGGAGGACCAAGCAACAAAGGAGCAGCTCAGGCATATATAGAGCGTTGGTAGTACACCTCGAGGGAAGGGCAGATTTCAGTAATTCATCTTCTAGGCCCTAACAGCAGTTGGCCTCTATGAGCTTCTTCCCTGTGTCACACACCTATTGACAATCACAACGGCTTACAAAGTTCTCAGTGACCCTTTTCTGTGCGCGCAATACGACAAGTCAAGACAACCCGTAGTCAGGGCCAAGAGCTTGCGTCTCCGCAAGTTTTCAGTGTGGAAAAGACGCACGTCCGACGATGAGTTCCGGAGATCGCAAGTA